GGCGGTCCTGCCGCGCTGCAGCGCGCTCCGGCCGCTGCGGCTCGTGCAGCCTCCCCCGCTCTGCAGGCTGCCGGCATTGTGCCCCAAAAGGTCTCGAACCTCTCGGGCGCAGAGCTCATGCGCCGCCGCCGCGCCGAGGCCGTCCTCGGGATGGAGGATGAGAAGGACGAGAAGAAGTAACGTAGACGAATATGTTGTTATGTAACCGGCTGGCGAGGCCGTATGTACAAGTGATGAACAATGCTGATGCGTGCGATTGACGGTCGACTGGGCTGCATGCACTTGGGGTGCGTTGGTCGTATGAGCGGTTCGCCGGTTGGATTTTGAGCTTCTAAGAGGAGGGAAGCAGTGATTGAGTCATCTCCGATCCTACTCGTACCCAGGGAGATAGGTCGCATCGACTTGCAGCGCGACAGTCAGGCAGACGACCTTACGGCGCCTGCGCCAGCGCCAGGGACGCCATCCGATGATCTTCCACCCGAGGATTCTCATGAGCGTCTGAGAGGTGTGAGAGAGGCGTTCGGGAGGCGAGCTAGGAGGTGGCGGTGGTCGAGTTGAGCTCGGTGTCGGGGTATGTACATGTAACTGATTGCACTGACGCTTAAAGGCATTGGTGATATGGTATCATATCAACAGTGTGCGGCTTGCGAAGAGGCGGAGGTCTTCCGCGACGCAATGGACACTCTGTTGCGGCGCCGGTTCATGCCTGCAGCCTCAGTCTATCGTTGTCGGCAGGATGACTTCCCGTTTGTAACGTGAGCGATAACGCGCGTTTATCAGCGAGCGATCTTGGCACGCCTACAGCATAGCCACGCCGAGCATGTGCGCCAGCCGCGCTGCGTATCGCCGTCGGACGAAGTTACGAAGCAAGACACGAGGCATACCGACGCATCGACGCCGCTCACACTCTCCTCACGTCCTTCCGACCCACAGGAGTGCAGCCATCTGGAGCCATTACCGACCCCGTGCGTTCCTCGTCCGCTCCTTCCTCAACCGCTCCTCCTTCTCCCTGCTATACTCGGACGGAACAGAACCCCAACAGCTGACATCATCCGCCTCTCGTTATACTCCTCTTGTTTGTTCTCTCAACATCCGAGGCCGCTTAGCTCAGCTGGTTAGAGCATCGTACTAATACGAAGACATCGTATCAGTCCATGCGGAGGTCGGCAGTTCGATCCTGTCAGTGGTCAATTTTTTTGCTGTTCTGCTCTCCTGAGCATTATGCATGTGTTTTTGGGGTCGGTTGGAGGATTGGAAGAGGGGGATGACGTTGGAAGAGTGATTTTTCGGCGGTTGTAGGGCGGGGATGTGGCACTGGGTGGAGGTGTGGCGCTAATGGCACCAGGATATCCTCCTATCTGTTTGTTTCGAAGCTATCGTTGATCGTCGACGCGCATGTCTCATGTAGGACAGATGTAGAGCTGAGGAGGTAGAATTCCAGGCTGTTCGACGCTGTTTAGAGTGCGACCTTTTCGGCACAGTGTACGATGCTCATGTCAAGGTGGTAGGTGCGCTAGCTGTTCAAAGCCACCACCGAAGGGCGCTATTGTCATTGTTCTGTTCCACGAGGGAGGAGAAGTTCTAAGCATCTGTGGCTGAGTTGCAGCCTCGCCTGTAGAGGAGGTGGCCAGTTGTTGACAGCTCGCAGGGGCGGAACGACGTCGCTTGCATGTGCTGTTGGTGCATTCCCTGGCGTCCGGAGGGCCATCACATGCCACCACAGGCCAAGTCGGTGCTCACGCACCTCAACCAGACTACCGGGAGAGTGAATGGCACAGGATCCTCTGCGGAGCAGGCATGGCTCTCGCCGGCAATGGTGTATAGGCGCTGCCTAGAATATCCAGTGGAGTCTGTGCTTCTGTCATCTGAACACGCGCCTTGCGCAGGTGGATAAGGTGCGCAGCGACCGACGATGGGTGCCTCCCGCTCCAAGGGCTCGAAGTGCTCGCGCACTGCACATCTAGCAACCTAGAGTCGGCGTGATGATTGTGCGAGCGGGTGACAGTGATTAAGCCCCTCACGGGCTCCAACCGCCGAACTTAGCCACGCTGCAGCTTCCACCAACGTCGTGACACAGCCACAGACCTCCAGCTCGTTCCTGCTTCCAAATACGCACTGAAACATGATTGAGCACATCGCCAGCACGCCGAGAGCTACGCCAAAGGCTCCACTCATAGGCACGGCACCCGGCGCTAAAAAGGAGGCCGTAAGGATGACAAAAATGCTGCCCCACACGGGCTCGAACCGTGGACCTCGGAGTATGTTATTGGATAACAGCTCCACGCGCTAGCCAACTGAGCCATAGGGCACTTCTTGTTTGCGATGAGTTGGCACGTTACATAAGCAGGAGATGTGGATTTCGTTTGTCCGTTTGGCCTTTCTCTCCTCGGTTGACACACGACAGCGGACGAAAGATGGCCTGCTTACACGAATGTACATATGTAAAGTGTTCTAAAAGTTCAAGGGTGTGTGGTCTGAAGCACCGCATGCTGTGGTCTGATAGTTCGTCTAAATCTAAATGTCCAGTCTCATTCTTAACCCATCGTCCAGGGTACTTTGGGGGATGTATCCGCCGCCCATGAAGTCACCCGTAGCCCGAGCACGACTACTTCTTGTTACTCGACGCCGTGTTCTTGTAGATCATGAGACCGGCCAGCGCGAGCGAGTATCCGAACACCTGGACGGCAGTGACGGACGAGCCGAAGAAGATGACGCTGGACGAGATGAGGAGAATATCCTTGAACACGCCGGCGAGAGTGAGCACGAGGCCGCCAGCCGCGCCGATAAGGAACACGGCGGCGACGTTCAGGAGGAACGCGCAGAGCGCGTTTGTTGACATGATGAAGAAGCCGATACGCGGGATTGCCTGGAACGGCGCGAGCCCTTCTGTGAAGGGAAGGAAACAGGCGTTGATTATGGCGCACACCTGATCGTCAGTTTCGACATTACAAGGGCAACTCACGGGTGCGTAGTAGTGCAATGAGCACAGCGGGTCCATCTTCAGACCCTGCAGGAGGACCTGGATCATGACGAGTCGCGACGACTCAAACTGGTCGTCAGTTCAGGAAATTCCTCTGGTCAACTCACCACAACGGCACTGGTCTGGAACACGAAGCCCATCAGGTTGAAATGAAGCTCCCCGTAAGCAGCTGGAAGTTAGCTGAGTCACTGTTCAATCAGCTCACCAAGCGCGCAACCAGTCGAGATTAGCAAAACGATCGCCAGCAGCTTGTGGTTCAGAGGTTGGATTCCGAAGAGCGCCGACGTCAGGACGATGGCGACTGGCGTGAACGCCTTCAGCATCTGGATGAACGACACGGTCAACCTGAGGTCAGCAGAGCTCATGGCTGTCACTCACGTCAGGTAAGCCGAGTTGCTGAGGATGAGCGAGCCCGAGAACAGGACACCGATCGGCAGAATCGACTTGAGGTAGATTTCGCGCTGCCTGTCAGTTATCACGAACCACGAAACAACGCACAGTCATCGGGATCCGGTCAAGTCCGTCCATGAGGTTGGTCGTTAGCCGCAGGACACGAGTTCCGAGAGCCTGCCGTCAGTTGGAGGTCGTATATCGACAACTTACAGCGCCCCCAAGATGGAATGATGTCCTGCAGGTTAGTACCACGCTGTCTGCTTCATTGCTCTAGACGCTGCACTAACAGGAAGATGGGCTGGAGAGTCAGCTACAAGAGTGGAGAAAGTCAGTTGCGTCACGTACGTATGGGAAGTTCAGGTTGGTGTAGAGGTACTCTGGGACTGTCAGATACCGGCACTCTCGAGCACGCACTGTTGTAAATGATGACGGCGGAAGAGAGAGCAATCCAAATGGGGACTGCGGTGAGCTCGTACGTACGATCTGAGTAGCTCACTGATCGCGGCGGCCTTCAGGTTCACGCGCTGTGTTGGTCGCGCTGTCGTGACGGGGGCGTCCTTCTCGTTGGCAGTCTGGAGGGAAGCGTCAGCTCACCGTTTGTTGACACATTCCGGCTCTGTGACTCACCGTGTCCAGGCTCTTCTCGTCATGAAAGCTGAGCCCACTGTCACTGCGTGCGGACAACATGGACGGCATGTTGGGTACGTCCTCACTTTCAGCCTTGGAGTGTGTTGGAAGCAGCGGCATGGTAGCAGTACAGCTGGCTGCGGCGCGTGTGGGAGTGATCGAAAGAAGACGTCTGCCGTTTGTTATGGGGCGAGTCTGGGTGGGCTGGCGGTGGAGGTGGGATTGTCAGGCTGGCAACGACGGAGCCGGCGCGCTGTTGAGCGTGGTGCTCAAGGCAGAGGGACCGATGGTAAAGACGGAAGAGGATGAGGTGTGAAGCAAAGTTCGAACATGCGGACTAGGCTAGCGTGTGTGTGCGAGTGTGCAAGGTGCGTCTGGCCGCTGGAACGGGGAGGTGACTGGGACATCTGATTCGGGCGACGAATTCACGTTTCACCTCGACATTGCCCAGGGTCGGTCCCGGCGTACTCCTCTTAACGTAACCTTAAGGGTCTAGGTCCTGCGTCCACTCGAGCAAGCTGCCAGCGGCGGCCGTGAGCACAACTTGCCTCCGAAGGGTCGACCGTCTTCTCAGGCCCTTCAAATACATAAATCCAACTCGCCCTCGTCGCCCTTGCCCTTGAACTGAGAAGCTTAAGCCAAGGGTACATGCTCCTCGCTCGCTGCTCATGCTTAACTCCTGTGACTTCGCAGAGCATGCAGAAGTGCTGGATCGGCATGCGCGCCAGACTGCGCGCCCAGGAGGGCACGTTTATGGCTGTCACGTCTATGCCAAGGAGTCTCTGGACATGGATGGCGGTAGCTGTGGCTGATCGCCGGAGCTGGAGCGCAGGTCCTTCGACTTTTGCAATGCAGAGCAGCATGCAGCAGCAGGCTGCTGGTGGTGGGGCCTCAGCTGCCTTCCTGAAGGGCGGGACCGTGCATGTCCCCGCATCGACGCCGCCGCGCCGCCGCACCTACAGGAATCCTCGACTTTCTGAGCAAAGCCCTCGAACTCGAACTGAGCGAGCGTCCGTGGGAGAGTGGCCATCAGACTTCGAGACACTTCGTGCACCGTGGGAGAATCCCGCTTTCACCCGGCAACGCTCCGACAGTGGAGGCTGGTCCTTCGGGCGAAGCAGAGTGCGACCGTGGGAGACCGCAAAACCTCTGCACCGTAGCACCCAGGACGTCTCCGACGAAGCCGACCATCGGGCCCGATAACCGTCCCAGACTCCAGTCGACTCACCTTGGCACTCCGCGTTCGCCGCAGACGCCGCACACACTCCCTCACACACCCGGCACGCACCCGAGGCCTGCAGCGGGCGCTAGTTATCAGATAAATACCGCGGTAACCGTCTCGCCCCCGCCCACTCCCGCGCCACCGGTCCACTTGACGGTATCGACAGCATGGGTGCGACAGATTACTTCTCGGTAAGCTGCAACGCCGTTTCCAGCTAACGTTAGCCCGTCGCGGCCTTCATCAGTCTGCGCGAGACGCTCGAGGCAGGCATCATCAGTGAGTTACAGTATCCGCTGCCTGAACTGACAGCAGTTGCGGTACTTCTCGGCTTCGTCGACCAGATCATTCCCTACTCGCCCTCCCAAAACAGCGGTTCGCGCACAGAGCTGCTCAACGAGGGACAGGGAGAGCGACGCTACTCGACCTTCGGACGGAGTGCGCCGAATATTAACCCGCAGCTCCTCAGCCCCGTCGTGCGCGCGCGCGATCTCGACGACGACGCGATCAGCGACGTCTCCTCCATCGATGGCGAGGAGCGGCCGACCTATGACCGCAATCAGGTTGTCCGCGCCCTCAAAACGCAGGTCTGGAGCGGCGCGCTTATTGGTCTCGCTGCTGCCTCTGTGGTCGGCGCAATCGTGCTCTACATCGTGAGTTTGGCGCGTGACGGGTAGTGGTGTGGGGATGTGGGGGACCAGTCACGCTGTGGGGTTGGTCTTGTGACGGGCGGTTTAATGCCTCAACCGGATGTCTCTTTCGGAAACGGAGACCTGCACCGCAGTTTTACTTCTTCCGAAGTGTGCAGATCTTCCGGATGCAGCGAGGAAGCCTACCCCGTACCCTTGCACACCAATGCCCCACGTCGATCCGCGCGTCGGCCCTTGTCTGGATTAAGCTGACCCCAGTTCTACCACTTCGCCCACGACCTCTGGCAAGACGCCGAGAATCTCTGGGAGGGTATTTTCTGCGGCATTGCCGCGCTCATCATCCTCGTGATGGGCCTCGCCTTCCTTCGCCTGCCGATGGCGCAGACAAAGTGGCGCCTCAAGCTCATCAGTGCCGTCGAGGGCCACGCGGGCGTCTCCGACGTCGCGAGTGCCTGGAAGAAGCGCAAGGTGCGCGCCCGCGCTGCGCGAGGTTTCATCCTCTTCGGTCTTCCCTTCATCACGGTGCTGCGAGAGGGACTCGAGGGCGTGGTCTTCCTTGGCGGTATTGGCATCACCGACTCGCCGCGCGCGATCATTTTCGGCGCCCTGACCGGCTTTGCCGTCGGCGGGCTCGCGGCCTGGTACCTCTTCTCGAGGGCTGAGCGTCTCTCCCTGAAGACGTTCACGACGGCGTCGACCATGCTGCTCTTCATCATGGGCGCTGGCCTGGCCAGTAGGTCCGCCTACGGCATCGAGCGGCAATACTTTGTGAACGGCGTCGGTGCGCAGGCCGCGGAAAGTGGAGACGGACCAGGCTCGTACCGCGTCGCAGGCAACATTTGGAAACTGAAGGGCTGTTCCCCGGAACCCGGACATGACGGATACAGCGGGTTCTGGCAGCTGGCGCAGTCGCTCGTCGGGTGGAACAACATCGGCACCGTCTGGACGTGTGGCACGTACATGGCCTATTGGTGGTTTATAATCTTCACGCTCGTCAGGATGAAGTACAAGGAGGGACGGGCTGAGATCTGCGGACACAAGTCGGCCCGCGGACGCGAGCTCGACAAGCGACGTAAGCGCGCCATCCGCCTGGAGGGGGAGGAGGAGGGTCTCCTCCAGCCTGACGAGAATCTCGCCGGTCCGTCGGGCAGCAGGACCTCCGAGGACGAGCAGCCCCACGCTGGCCCCTCGTCCGCCACTACAACGTAGATTACTACAGCCTCTTAGCGTAAAGCACCTATAATCTTGTTGTTGTACATGACCAACCACAGAAGCCAAAAACGAGAGTAGACCAGTTAGAATCTCTACAGTAACGACCTGTCCGCCACGATGCAGATTATCACCACGCAGCATCGCAGCATAACCGAAAGACTAATACATAAATACACGGAATCCTGTCCTGTCGTTCTATCGTCATATATGATATCATCAGAACTGCGCTGTCAGCTTGACGAGCTTGGACAAGAGAGCTGTACTCACCCTAACAAAGTACGACCCGTTCGCCTTGGTCAGGTATCGCACCCACTTCGTGGCGCCTGACGTTAGTTGGGGTTTCACAGGCGCAGCACTCACCAGCTCCTGACTTCTCGAACACCTTGAGGTATCGGACGAGCAGTCCCGAGGCAGTGTACATGACGACTGAACGTTAGCTGACAGGCGGCACTCCCTAATTCACCGGAGAAGTCGATCTCGATGGGAGGCCGCGACCAGGCCTGTCGCGTGGTCGTGTGCGCGAGCTCCGCCTCGGCCGTGAGCGTGCACTCCTGCTGGCCCTGGATCTTGGGAATCCTGATATCAGTTAAAGACAGAACGTGTTTGTAACTCACTTCCAGATGATGACATTCTCGCCGGGTGCGTACTTGGCCTTTCCGATACCGACCTTGGAGTCGACCTTGGTCGTCGATAACGGCGTGGGGATCTTGAGCACGACGTTGTTGGCCTGGAGCTTCGAGTCAAAGCTCGCCTTCAGGTGGATAGTGTACTCGACTCGCGTCTTGGTGGGCTCAATGACGTGCGTCTGCAGCTTGAAGGGGAGCGAAATGTTCGACGTGCAGCGGTACTTCATGAGCTCGAACTCGCCATCGGGAGGGATGAACGAGATGCTCCGGTCCGAGTCGAACTTGCCCAGCCGCACGCACTGGTGGAACTGGCAGTCGTCGAGCTCGACTGCGCTGTCGCCCTTGGCCACGTTGTCGTTGCCCTTCTTGTCGAGCACGAGCTTGTCGTTCAGACCAAACTTGCATTCGGGCATGCCGCTCAGGTACGCTCGCATCAGAATCTGTCCGTCCACGTCTGCGCGCAGCGTCGAACCGTCCTTCGACATGAGCAGGTTCACCGTCTCGATCACGTCCACGAACGCCTCGTTCTTCCGGTACTTGACGTCCGCGCGGCGCCACGACGTCGCGCCAGTCGCCTGGATCGTGATACGGGAAGAGTCCTCCCGCTGCGACATCAGCTGCAAGTTCTCGAGCAAGCTGTCAGTAAACGCACCACTGCCATCTCCGACTTGACACCCTCCGTAGTGATGTACATCTTTAGCGTGTCAATCTCAGAATTCTGAGGGTAACCAAAGTCGAGAATCTCTGCGGCGTCAGCTCGCGACTAGCACCAAGCAGCTCACCGTCCAGAAGCTCATAGATCAGGATGAAGTTGTTCTTGACGCTCTCCTCGTCCAGCTTCCCGAAATAGCTTCGAGAGATGGAGATGAAGCGATACAGAAACTCGAACACCAGGGCTGCCGAGGCGTTGCATCTGCGTTGTTAGCTGGCCGGACCCTTCTAGCTTACTTCGTCACAGCCACGATGAAGATGTTGTTGATGCGGACATGGAAGAACGACGTTGATCCGAGCGTGATGATGGGCGATCGCACGTCCGGGTTCGACACAACCTGGATTCTGAAGACGTCTGAGATCGAGCGCCTGTTGTGTTAGCATCGAGAGCAACGGGGGAAGTTGTCTGCAGACGCATGTGTTCGATAACAGAGGCAACTTGCAGCGCGGGCGGCACTCACTTCAGGTCTGCCCGGAATAGACGGGAGATGAGCACCTGAGGTCAGCATGGACTTGGCGGGTAGATGAGTAGTCGTACCTCGCCCTTCTGGTTGAAGATGAAGAACGCCTGGCAGTTAGCGAAGCGTCTCACAGCGGACCCGTACCGAAATCATGGTGCTTCAAGATCTCTGAGCGATATGTTCCCGACGTTCCAAAGGAGAGATGCTGTCGACGACGTCGTTGGTGACCATCCGTTGCGCCGAGGTCATGCAAGCCAGGGCGTCACCGCTCGAGGCGCGTCGTGGCTGAGGTCCCATCGTGATCGGCCGACCTCCGGCATATTGCCACTTCATTTTCCCTCCACGTGGCTATCCGTATCAGGCCGACCAGACATTTCGTTTGTTTCGAGTCGGGCGCTCGGCCATCTCAGACGAAAGTTGCAGCTCGACTTATCAACCACACTCGCATACCTCACGTCAAGCTTAAGCGGAAGCTTGATAACTCGGTCGACTAGCTGGTGGTGTATATGCTCCGCCGCCTGATCTTTTCGACTCCAAAAAAGCTCGCGCCACTTGCCAACCCCCTGTCCTCTTCAAAATTGTCGGTGCAGCTGAGGCCTTCGGATCGCTCGAGCCTGAACAAATCGCCACTTAGACTTATCCACACCTCGCCCATCATGTCTGCCGAGCAGGCCACCAAGCCTGCTGAGGCCGCCCCCGCCGCCCCTGCTCCCGCTGCCGCCGCCCCTGCTCCCGCTGCCGCCGCCCCTGCCGAGGGTGCTGCTGCTGGTGCCGCGCCCGCCGAGGGAGAGAAGCCCTCGAAGAAGGGAGGTGAGCTTTGATGCCCTTTACAGGGTCTGCCAACGTCACAGAACTGACCAGTTTACAGCTAAGAAGGAGGCTAAGCGTCTCGAGAAGCTCGCCAAGGCTGCTGCAAAGCAGTCCGTCGCTACTCCCCAGAACGCCGGCCCCAAGAAGGAGAAGAAGGTCAAGGAGAAGAAGGAGGAGCAGCCTGCCGAGGAGTGGGTCAACCCTACTCCCCCCGGAGAGAAGAAGGGTGAGTACACATGAGTTGGCTGTTGCAGCATTCGCTGATGTCTCAGACCTCTCGGGCGACATTCCTCCGGGAGGCTACGACCCCATCAAGGTCGAGGCCGCTCACTATGACTGGTGGGAGAAGGAGGGCTTCTTCCTCCCCAAGTTCCAGGAGGATGGCACCCCTCTGCCCAAGGGAACGTTCTCCATGGTCTTCCCTCCCCCGAACGTCACCGGAAACCTTCACATCGGTCACGCCCTTACCACCGCTCTCCAGGACTCGCTGATCCGTTGGAAGCGCATGCAGGGTTACACCACCCTTTTCGTTCCCGGTTACGACCACGCCGGTATTGCTACCCAGGCTGTCGTCGAGGCTCGTCTCCTCAAGAACGAGGGCCACTCAAGGCACTACTACGGCCGTGAGAAGTTCCTTGAGAAGGTCTGGGAGTGGAAGGAGGAGTACCAGGCGAACATCACCAACCAGATGCGTCGTCTCGGTGGCTCTTTCGAGTGGGGCCGTGTTGCCTTCACCATGTCGGACGTGAGTTGCTAGCTTTTGAGCGATAACTGATGTTCAGTCGCTCTCTGAGGCTGTCCGCGAGGCCTTCGTCGCCCTTCACGAGAAGGGCCTCATCTACCGTGCCAACCGTCTCGTCAACTGGTGCTGCTACCTCAACACCTCGCTCTCCAACCTCGAGGTTGACCAGAAGCACGTCACCGGCCGCACTCTCCTGAATGTCAAGGGCTACGACCCCAAGGAGCGCTTCGAGTTCGGTGTCATCACCTCGTTCAAATACCCTATCGAGAACTCGGACGAGTTCATCGTTGTCGCCACCACCCGTCCCGAGACGATGCTCGGAGACACTGCTGTCGCCGTTCACCCTGATGACGAGCGCTACAAGCACCTCCACGGCAAGTACGTCATCCACCCCTTCAACGGCCGTCGCATCCCCATTGTCACCGACCCCATCACCGTCGACATGGAGTTCGGAACCGGTGCCGTCAAGATCACCCCTGCCCACGACCCCAACGACTTCGAGTGCGCTCAGCGCAACAACCTCGAGTTCATCAGCCTGATGAACGACGACGGTACCTACAACGAGAACGCCGCTCCCTTCCAGGGAATGAAGCGCTTCCACGTCCGTAACAAGATCATCGAGGCGCTCAAGGAGAAGGGTCTCTACGTCGGCCAGGAGGACAACGAGATGCAGCTCCCCATCTGCTCTCGCTCCGGCGACATTGTCGAGTCGATCATGAAGCCCCAGTGGTGGGTCAGCTGCAAGCCGATGGCTGAGGAGGTCCTCAAGCGCACTGAGGCCGGAGAGCTCGAGATCAAGCCCAAGCAGATCTCCAACGACTGGATCCGCTGGATGGAGAACATGCAGGACTGGTGCATCTCCCGTCAGCTCTGGTGGGGACACCGCTGCCCTGCTTACCTCCTCAAGTTCGACGGCGAGACCCCCAACACGGCCGACGAGAACAACTGGATCGTTGCCCGCTCGCTCGAGGATGCCCAGAAGGAGGCCGAGAAGCGCGCCAACGGCCGCAAGTTCACGCTTGAGCAGGACGAGGATGTCCTTGACACCTGGTTCTCGTCTGGTCTCTGGCCCTTCTCCACTCTCGGCTGGCCGAAGGAGACTGACGACCTGAAGCACTTCTACCCCAACTCCATCCTTGAGACCGGATGGGACATTCTGTTCTTCTGGGTCGCGCGTATGGCCTTCATGGGCAACCAGCTCACCGACAAAATGCCTTTCAAGGAGGTCTACTGCCACCCCATGGTCCGTGACGCTTGGGGACGCAAGATGTCCAAGTCCACCGGAAACGTCATCGACCCTCTCGATGTCATCACCGGTCAGAACCTCCAGAAGCTCCACGCCGACCTCCGCAAGGGTAACCTTCCCGAGAAGGAGATCAAGAAGGCCGAGGAGGGTCAGAAGAAGCTCTTCCCCAAGGGTATCCCCCAGTGTGGAACCGACGCTCTTCGTTTCACTCTCTGTAACTACACTTCTGGAGGCCGAGACATCAACCTCGACATTGGCCGTGTTGAAGGCTACCGCAAGTTCTGCAACAAGCTCTGGAACGCCACCAAGTTCGTCCTCTTCCGTCTCGACCTCTTCGACCTCGAGGGCAAGCGCAAGGCTGGCAACTTCAAGCCCAACGCTTCTGCTAAGCCCACCGGCAAGGAGAGCATCGCCGAGAAGTGGATCCTCCACCGTCTCAACGCTGCCGCGGCCCTGGTTAACCAGTCTCTGGAGAACCGCGACTTCGCCGACGCCACCAACCACGCCTACCGATTCTTCCTCAATGACTTCTGTGACGTTTTCATCGAGGCTACCAAGCCCGTCTTTGAGGCCAACGAGGACTCGCCGGAGAAAATCTCTTGCCAGAACACCCTCTACACTGCCCTTGACGGCGGTCTCCGCCTCCTCCACCCCTTCATGCCCTATGTCACCGAGGACCTTTGGCAGCGTCTCCCGCGCCGTGCTGGCGACGAGACCAAGTCGATCATGGTTGCCTCCTTCCCCGAGGAGACCTCCGACTTCGACTTCCCCCAGGCCGCCGCCGACTTCGAGCTCACCAACGACGTTATTGGTGCCGCTCGTTCCATCGTTGGTCTCTACAACCTTCCCACCAACGGCAAGACCCTCGAGGACAAGATCACCGTCATTGTCCAGGCCAAGACCCCCGAGCAGAAGGCTATGCTCGAGTCGCAGGCTTCCATCATTGTCGCCCTCACCAAGGGTGCTGGCCAGGCCAGGTTCATTTCGGAGGACAGCGAGGTCCCCAACGGATGTGCTTCCGAGGTTGTCACCGCCGACCTCAACGTCCACATCCCTGTTGCCGGAAAGGTCGACGCCGCTTCGGAGATCGCCAAGCTCGAGAAGAAGCAGGGTATCGCTCAGACTGGAAAGGACAAGCTCGTCAAGCTTACCCAGCAGTCCAACTACGAGACTGCCGTCCGTGAGGAGGTCAGGCAACAGAACGCCGAGAAGCTCGAGAAGCTCGAGAGCGAGATTGAGGCCATCCGCCTGGGTATTGAGCGATTCAAGACCTTCCTCTAAGATAAAAGATAGACGCCGGCAGTAGAGCTGAGGTTATGCATGTCGAGGATTTCGTATCAGCTGATGCGTTCAGTGCACTTTCCTATCAGATCCCGCCATCGGCTCCTAGATCGATAGCAGGCTGTTCATCGCAATTATTCCAGCCGAGCGTTCCGCCTGTGCTTGTGGACATCTTCCTCACCCATAATCTATGACTTGACTGCTCTTGCATAGTGTAGATTGCAGTGCGCTAGTTTAACCCCCATCAGATGTCAGCAGGAGGGATGCGGACTGGGATTTGCCACCCAACCGAAGGTGTTGCCACCGCTTGGCCTCTGGCCCCGCGCCCTATCGCACAGTTACGTCAATATGGTGTGCTGCCTCCACTTCCGCTTTCTCCACCGAACCATCCATCGCTTACCGATCCCATTGAACCTCAACGAGCACGATTTCTCACTCATAGTACACTGCGAAACAGCCGGCCACTGAAGCCACTATGCTCTTGTGGTTGGCACTGCTTGCTTCAGCCCAAGCCGCACAGCTTGTGGTGCCGCAAGCCCAACCGCCGGATATCGGAAGTGAGTGCTTAACGACGCGTGTTTGTGCCCGCCCCAACAGCTCCTCGTCTGAATCTCATCGCTTCTATCATCTGCGGCACGGCGGTATCTTAGGTATAGAAGCTGACAATATGCAGTTCAGAGCGAGACGCTCACGACAATCCTTTCCAACTCCAAGCAGCATGGTATTTTCGTCCGACTCCTGCAGCGCACGCGACTCATTCCGGTGCTCAGCCATATGAATGGCACCGTCTTCGCTCCTACAGATCAAGCGTGGCGAGACTGGGAGAAGAAACACAAGCCTGACGAAGGCAATCAGCTCGACTCAGCCGACGACGGGCGGTATCTCGGTTGGCTCGGTAGCTCTGGATTGGACGAGTGGATCGAGGACGCCGAGCCCCTTCCCATCGCATCTGATCCCACGATTCTCGACAACCAACACTTCGCACTCCGACAGCATCTCCTCTATCACGTTCTGAACTACACGATTACGGAAGATGAGTGGCTTGGGAAGCCGCCCAAGAACAAGAGCCTCATGATCGATTCAGACGACGAACCCGTCCCCATTCCGGGGAACATTACGGTCGAGGAGACACTTCTGTTCCCTCAGGAGAAAGCACCCAAGGCGCCCGTTCCAGGTGGACCTTGGGTTCCAGGCGACGGTAACGGCTTACTGGGGCACCAAGGTCAACGCCTTCGTGTCGCTCGACCTGGTTCTCAGATCGGAGGCGAGCGCGGTCTCATCGGCCTAAACGAGCGAGGCGAGGAAGGCACGGGCGTCTGGGACGGCAGCGGATGGTCGACTGAGCCTCCTGACCACCACTTCAACGGAAATAAGGACGAAGGCGACGGCGGCGACAAGGACAAGGATGGAGACAAGGATAAAGATGGAGACAAGGACAAGAAGCGCAAGGATAAATACAAGAGCGGCGGCCGCTGGGGTAGGAACGGCGGCGTCATCGGCATCACTGGTGTTCTGACGCCCCCGCCCAGCATGTCCGACGCCATCAAGGCCCATCCGAAACTGCAGTACCTTGCCCGGCTTCTTGCAAACGCGCTTCCCGATCCATTCCCGCCGTTCCTCAACTCTGCGCCCCATGTGACGCTCTTCGCCGCCAGCGACGATGCATTCAAGACGGCATTCGATGAGCAAGAGAGGACATACCTAGAGGGCCCCTTCGGAGCTGAGGGCGTCACCCGAGCCATCGGCCCAACTCTTATGATGACTAAGGAGATTGGCTGGAGCACGATGTTTAAGGCGAAGCCCAAGAATGTGACGACGGTGACCGACGCGCTTGAGATCGTCAAGGACAGCAAGGAAGGTCACCTGATAGTCAACGGAACCACCGCCGATGTCGTCGACATTTATACTGCCAACGGCGTCATCCACATTCTGCCGAAGCTGATCCTCCCCGACGGCTTTGAGCTTCTGAATAGTGTCGAGAAGGTCCTGCTGTCGAGGAACGCTACGCGCTTCGTGTCTCTCATGAGGTCGGCCAATCTCAGCGAGAAGTACATGGGCGTCGGAAAGGACAAGGAGTACACCGTTCTCGCGCCCACGGACGACGCGATCGACTACCTGCATTGGTACACCAGCCGTTTCTCAATGCAGACCGACGCCGAGGCGCTGTTTACGCAAGCGCAGCCTGGTCTTGTCACTATCCCTAGTGGCGAGGCCGATGACAAGCCCGACCTACCGCCGGATGTGTCGCCTCTTGCCGCCTTATTGCAGTATCACATCGTCGCTGGTCGCCTCAAGCCCCGCGATCTCACCGACGGCATGCTCTTGGAGACCGAACTGCACACGAAGGCTCTTAAAGGTAAGGCACAGCGCCTTCCAGTGGCCATATCTGATCAGCGCCGTACTCCGAAGGACGCGCCCGACGAAGAGCTTCGATTCGGAGGCGCCTTGGTGCTCGGCCCACCCGTCAAGTCCGGGAAGAGCATCATCTACTTTGTCTCTGCCATTTTGACTCCGCCTCTCGACATGCTGCAGACGGCTGTTGGCGATCTTCAGCTCTCGACATACATCGCAGCCGTATACGCGGCAGGGTTGGAGAAGTCTTTCAACAAGAATCCCGCTACCACCTTCTTCATCCCATCCAACAAAGCGTTCAGCAACCTCGGCCTCGTCACGCAGTATCTCCTGCTCCCCGAAGCTAGGGACGAGATCAGGAAGGTGCTCCACTATCACGCCGTCGAGAAGCTTGTCTACACGCAAGATCTCGAGATCGGCAACGCGGTGTACAAGTCCATGGAGGGTGGGGACTTTGTCTTGACAAAGAACGAGAACCAGACCAAAACAATCTCGAAGCGGAAAACTCTGTTCACCGTTCGATCTCCATCCAAGTGGCCTGGACACGACAGCGGCACGTCTTTGCCGAGTAACGCCGAACTGGCTTCCAGCAACGTTACGGACGCCGACCATTTGACGGAGACCGGCGTCATCCATGTCATTGACGGTATCGTTATCCCTTCCGACCTCAACATCACAATCGCGCAGCTCATTCGTGGTTCGAAGCAGCGCACGATGGTCGAACTCCTTATCAAGGCTGGCTTTGGCTGGATTCTTGAGGGCCGCCAGCCGTCAAAGGAGGAGGCCATCCATGCCGGTCTTATCGGCAAGGGTGGCAAAGGTGGAAAGGGTGATGATGACGGAGGGGACGACGACGACGATGACGACTGGGAGAATCTTGCCCTCCCGGCGTACACCGTACTCGTCCCCACGGATCGCGCCTTCTCACGCATCAACCTCACGCACTACCTGAGCGATAAGGAAGCTCTCTCGGACCTCGTCAAGCTGCATATCATTCCCTCATCTTCCCCTGAGTACGACTCCCAGTTTGCCGGCAAGCTTGGCAGCACGCTGCCAAGGCCAGGCAGCCCGCTTAGCCTAAACGACGACATGCTCTACCCGACACTAAACAAGGGTGACTACGGCCGCCTCGCGTTCCGCAGCATTACGAGTCACAATAAGGACGACGACGATGACGAACCACCGTCTGAAGGCTTCCTCGTTGGTGTGCACAACGCGCGCGGTGTGAACTCGAAGGGCGCAGAGATCGGCTTCGTCGGGCGGGCTACTGTGCGCTGGCGTCGCAACTCCGATGATGATGATGACGAAGACCCCGAGGACCCGAAGGTCAAGGTCAAGCATGCGCTGAGGTCTCGACTCTGGCGTGAGCACTCCATCAGTGACACGCCCCTGCTGCGCAACGGCATGACGCTTGGCGGCGGTGTGCTCATGATCGACGCCGTACTGGAGCCGTATCACCCCTCGTGGTTCGTGCGCTACCAGCCCCTGTTGCTGACGCTGGGCATCGGCTTCGTTGTCATTGCTCTCCTTGGTGCGGCTGGCTGGTGGTGGAAGAACAACAAAGGCGGTAAGATCGCTCTGCCTTTGACGGACGAGGACGAGGAGGAGCAGGAGCAGCGTAACCGAACCTGGCGTGACGGCCTGCACCATGCCAACGGGAACGGAAATGGAAACGGCGTCCACCCAAGCGAGAGCACATAGAAGTCTCAAGTGAGAGATGTTGTAGAATTGTCGTAACTTACAAAGTATAGTCTCGAATGGCAGTGTGCTGCACTATAACCCACTAGGGCTAGCTCAGTGGTATGTCCAGAGAATGTAAATTTTCCAAGTAACGTGGTGCGCGGTGCTTCTCGGCCGCCGGCCTTGCTCTTTATGACGGAGTTGGACAGTGAGGAGGACTGCAGCCAGATCTAAGACGTGTGCTGTGTGGAATGCGATGCAGATCGCACTCTCGGTGTCACCTGTCGTACTCGTCGTCGACAGTGGCACTACGCCCGCCTGCGTGCGACTACGGCCCACTGTCCTTGAGCGAAGTGAGCAAGCTCGAAGACCCAAGGCCGATCTGGTGCGAGCCGATCTTGAGGGCGTCCAGCATGTGAACGTGAACACGGGGCGCCAGTTGTGTCACCGGCGTGCACACTTGCGCAGTGTGCGCACTCATGTGCATAACGCTAATGTTGGGCGATGGGGGCACGAGCTCATATCGGACTCGCACATCGCAGCCGAGGACTGAGATAGCTGAGACACCTCCCGTACACATATATAGCTTGGCGAGCAGCACGAGCTGATCCACAACCTGCGACATGGCTCCCCAAACTGCAGCCTTCACTCTCCGTCAACCAGTGCTGCCCCCGCCCGTGCCGCTGCTTCCTCACCCGCCTGCTCACTACCCACCTCATCCCGTCCCTCACGCTCCTCCGGGATCACTTCACTGCCCGCCACCAGTACCTCTCCCGCCTAATCGTCCGGCGCGCCCTGGGCTCCGCTTGCCGCCGGTCGCAATGAAGTCGACCGAGCCCGTTGCCGCCTCCCAGCCGACACCGGGCGCCAAGCCAACCCTGATCTGCGACGGGCACGACACGACAGGCGAGAACAGGAACCGTGAGTCAGCTCAAAGAGCCAGCTGACGAGCAGAGCCGTGCCAGTTCTACATGACGAAGCGTCGCTGGAGGTGCGCGTTCTGCCGCCTGTACTCTCCCTATAGGACCCACGATGGGTACGAGGGGAAGCACTGTTGGGCCTGAGCCTCGGCGTTATCTGTCGTCAAACCTTGTCAGAAGGGGAGATTGTATGAGTGAAAAGGCAGGAGGCTGTACACCTGGTGTCATGTATTCTGTACGCTGTACGATGTACTCTTCCCGCATACCTGTATCCACGTTTGAAATTGTAGTGAGAGGGCAACGGCATAGGCAAATGGGGACAGAGAGGGCAGACAGTGCGAAGAAAGTGGAGGCGGATCCCCGTCCTCCGCTGGAAAGATCGGATCGGCTTTCTGTGCGGCGACTCACCACCGCCGGATGACCGGACCATGACGTCGGCTCACATTCCGCGCCCTCCGGTCGTGTCTACCCTTCCTTCCTCCGTTCCTTCTACCCATTCTCCTCCTCTTCCTCTTCCTCATCTTCTTCTTCTGCGATCGCTTTCCAGAACCTCCAAAAGCCCACCATGTCTGAGGAACTGTACGCCGTTGCTGACTGTAAGTATCCTCGCGCGCTTTCTGGCCCAACTCTCACTTCGGTTTGGTGTTGGTAAGGTCGTCTGCCTTCCTTACGGAAGGTTTAACGACGAGGAAAGCTAGCGCAGCTGTTTCTACCGCATCCTCTTAGCTGACGCCCAGTCTGTCTTATCCCTATGGGCACCGAGTCGCCCTCTGTCGGCCCGCAGATCGCCGAGTGCCAGCGCGTGCTTGAGAAGTCGGGTCTAGAGTACAACGTAAGTTGGTTGCTTACGTCGAATAACTGACACACAGCTCCAGTACGTATTCGCAATCGATTAGCCTCATGAGTACCTCTCTTCCCGTTCTACGCGGCGCTGGATCTCACCGGAGCAGGGAAGAGGAGAAGGGGCACAAGCTAAGATGTGGCCGTTTGAAAGCTGACAGACAGCGGCTACGGCACGAACCTCGAGGGGCCGTGGGACAAGGTCATGCAGGTGAGCTATAGTCGACGATGAACGCTGAGCTGACATCAGGCGATCGGTGACTGTCACAAGGCTGTGCACGCGCTGGACACGCCGCGCATTGCCGTGAGTAGACTGCACTTTCTCGACCCTCCTTTCTCCACCTTCCTTTCTCGTCCCACCGCCTCAGCTGTTTAGAACCCAAGGCATAGCTAACCCCAGACGGACATCCGCATCGGCACGCGCACGGACCGTGAGATCAAGGGCGGCGGCAACGCAAACAAGAAGAAGCGCGTCGAGGACATTCTCGAGGGCAAGCAGTAGAGCAGTATATCTGAATGGCATGATTAAGACACGACACGAATATTATTATGGGAACATAGGACTAGCAAGAAAGGGAGAATATTAGACAAGAGTCAGCGTGTACCGGATCGGAAGGTGGGGGGCGACCTCCTTCTCCTTGCAGGTGCTCGTGGCCCTGAGGCCGGCGAGCTCGTCGCTGTGATAGTCAGCTCATATTCCCGCCCTGCAGAGCTTTGACCCCGAAAGCCCGTCCCAGAGTCCATGAGCGGTGCACACGTTGTGTTTGACCACGCAGCGACCTTGGTGCGAACGGATGGCCGTGCGGCGATCGACGGGTGCGAGGAAGAGATTGGGGGAGGACAGTGTGTACTCACGAAGCAGTCTCGGGGATGAGCTCGAGCGTGCCGTCCAGGCCGTCTGCTGTGCTCACGCTTCCAGTCGAGCGGAAGATGCACTTGCCCTTTCGGCCCCGGATCGTGCCCTGAAATACGAGCTCGCCAGAGTAGAACCACGACGTCGGGTCTGTCGCCGTGCTGCGAGCGTTAGCGAGCATTCTCGTTGCGGCCGGCGTGAGCGGTAGATCAAGAGTGCCCGCCTCACGCGAAGCAAGTTCTCCGTTCTTGGCAGAGAGAGGGATCAACGAGCAGCTTGGTCAGAGTGGGGTAAGAGGACGAGGGTGAGGCATGCCACAGCGGCGTGACGTGAGCGCGTCTCGCTTCTCGCCTCGCGTCAGTCAGTCCCCTCACCTCGTCCTCTTCTCTCTATCTCTCCCAACTCCACTCAATCCCTTCTCTCCCATCCATTGCCCGCGTCCTCGACATCGATGAAGAATGACTTACGTAGTGACCATCTGCCAAGCCTTTCCACTCCACTGAGCACCCTCAACGTCGAACTCCTCAATAATGATCATGCTCTGGAACGGCAGCGGGGCCGTGAACTCGGGTGTGACCGACTTCCAGCTCGCGCTCCGGAAGCTGGCCTTGACCTGCTGCCCATTTCCCGAGACGGTGTCCTCGGGATCTTCCGTGATGTCCACCTGCTCCACTTCGACGGAGGGAGGGGCGGGATTCGTCGCTGTCGGGGTCGTCTCTTCCTCGACTTCGGGCTCGGGAACGTCGGCAGCGGCAGAAGCAGTAGAAGTGGAGGGAGCGGGCTGAGAGGGATTGGAGGTGGAGGGGCCAGAAGAGGCAGCCGAAGACGGAGGGATGGGCGGCTCCGGCTCGTCCGCGAGCCCAATGTCGCTCGGCTTGCTCGGTGTCGGGTCGTCTGCTTTCTCGCTCATCGTTGCTCGCCCCAGAGTGTTATCGTGTTCCTGTTCGCCACGGTGCAGTCGGCAGATAGGCCAGGTGGATCACGCGTCGGAAGGTAGGGTAAGAGTGATATGCACAAATCCGGATGCAAGAGGAATGAATGAATGAGTAATGTGTTGACAACAGCAGACGCACAGAGTCTCGCTTGTTGTCTCGTCTGATGCGCGTGTGTGAGGCGTCCGGCCAGGCGTCACCGACGGCGCCATATGGTCATGATACCCAGGGTTGAGTCACCTCCCCTCATCTCGACCCATACGGCCCACACTGGACGAACCCAGCCTAGCCTCTAGCCAGAGCAGGTGTAGCAGGAACACGCAGGCACACCTCAGCAAGCCTGAGACAACTCAGTGGGTCGTTCCTGCGTTCCTTCCTTCCTCTAGCTTCCTCCTTCGGCGCCCTTCCACACTGCATCGATCGAGACCGCAGCCAGTGCCCCTGCCGTTTCATCCAAACACTTGCACACTCACCCACCTGCACTGAACGTACTTCCGTACACTGCTGCTCTGCATACAATGTCTTGCATAACCTTTTGAATGCCGGCCGGTAGCGCCGTGCGCTCCGTTTGTTTGCTTGTGTAGTGTACAAAATGTCAATGAGCTGCGGTCGGCCGAATGATGAGATGATGAATGGAGATCGGTCATTGTGATAGGGAAGTGATCGGGTCGAGTGAGGTGTTGGAACCGCCGTCAGGATCCCAAGGATCCCAAGGGGGGCAGTGAAACCTCCGACCCTGCTGCCGACGCTCCTTCTCGCCGTAACTCAAACCCTGCCTGGTATGCTCTGTTATCATTGCTGCTGTGCTCGTCGAGCTCGCTCTTCGCTACTTCGAGCAAAAAGGGCGCAACGCGAAATGTCTAAACCATGTTGCTCGCTCTGGACTCAGCCTTGGTCTGATCGATTGACGTCCGAGTTTGCGTTGGCACAGGGGGAAGAGGCGACTTGGGTAGGGGCCGCGGTCCGCCAAGGGCCCGGGGACCTCCGACGCTGCGGTTCGAAGCGGGTGACGGCCGTGGCCCCCCGACTGTGCCGGATGTCAGGCTCGTTGTAGAACTGTCAGGTCCGGAAGGCTTGTCTGAAGGCGTCGTGGGTTGCGGCCTGGGGCCCTTCACAGTCGCAGATGAGAGACTGGTAGTGGAACTGGAGGGTGTGGGGACCGCTGGCAGCGATCGACCTTCCAGACTGGGACGCTCCAGAGTTTCCAGGCTAGGACGTTCGAAACGTTCAACACTAGCCCTCTCAAAGCTTGTCCGGGGGCTGACGTCCGGGTACCGATCGGACATGCGTAGCCTCTCGGTCGAGCCGTTCGGAGAGTAGTCACCATGCAGTGACTCGTGGAGAGACAAGATCTTGTTGGTATCCAGGGGTGGGAAGCTACGCACATCCGGTAACGCCATGGATGAGTCGTCAGCGGATGGCAGCTCCTCTGCCTCCTGCGACGACATGGTTTTGGGAGTCATGTATACCGGTTCAGGCATCTCGGGGAACGGAAGTGGAAGTGACTTGGGCGTGCTGGGTGCAGGAGACGGCGGAACGGGCGAGCGAGCGACTGGTGAGGGAGGGACGGGCGACGGCGGGATAGGCGATGGAGGGACAGGTGAGGCACGAGGGGTGCTCGATGCCTGCTGGCCCCAAGGCAGCGCGGAGTTGACCGTGCTAGGTGTCTTAGCTGCCGCTGAGGACAAGCTTGACATGTCTGGGAGAGGCGGAACGGGCGGAGGTGGCGAGGCGCGTCGAGACCCAGAGCGTAAGGAAGAGCGCTGCATCGAGGACCGCGCGACGACGGCTGCAGCGAGGAGCGTTGAACCGAAGGCTGAATCGACGAGCGCTGAATGGAAGAGCGTTGAACAGACGACCGCTGCGACGCCGGTTTGCCCGGTTTGAAGCTGCCCGGCGGCGCCGAGTACCGGATCAGACTGCGTGCATCCTCTTTTTCGAAGGGCGACCTTACTTCGGTCGTGTACACCGAAGCTGCGCAGGAGGCGGCAACGCTTGGTTGACCGTCATCCTGAGAGTCGTCTAGGTTCAAGTTGCGCATGGCCATTGCGGCGTATCCACAGCATAGAGCCATAGCCAGGCAGAGCCACCACACGTTGTGGATCGCGTCAGCGTACGTCTCTTGCATAAACCTCAGGTTACGCTCGCTGAGAAGACCGCTGTTGTCCCACATGACAAGCGGAGACGCCAGTACCGCGGTCTTCGTCTCCGATCGCAGGGCTGTGTAGTTGACTGTGTTGTGCAGCTTGTTCTCGAAGATAGTGGTCGCAATGGCGAGGCCGATCACCCTTCCGACGAAGCCCCAGAACTATTGTTAGCTATCACCGGCTCATTGTAGCTTACGTTGAAGACATTTGTCGCATGCGGGGTGAGATGCGGGTTCCTGTAGTACTTGGCCTGCATGAGGACGACAATGAGGTTCAGGATGAGGCCGAGCCCAACACCAGCCAGGATCTCCAGCCCCACGACGGTGGCCAGCGATGTCGTCGCCTTGTAGGTAGACATAATACCCGTGACAATAGCAGTCAGGATGCAACCGATGACAATGGGCACCTTGGCGTAACCGGTCCGCTCACCAAACTTGCCAGCGAGAATCAGGACGGGGCTCACCGCGCACTGAATGCCGAGAAGTAGCACTCCAGCCTTAGTCGCCGAAGTGCCCCTGGAGCTCTGGAAGTAGATGCTGAGGTAGAAGAGGATGACGACCACGAGAGAATACCCGAAGAACGCCACCCAAATCGCTCCGTTGAAGTGCACGCTGCGGAATAGCGACATGGGGATCATAGCTTTCGGCCCCCGGAAGTAGCTCCAGGCGATCAGGGCAGCGAAGAGGACACCCGAAAAGACAAGCGCCACAACGACGTTCGGGTCGTTCCACGATCGAGTGACCCCACCCCACTGCAGAGCAAAGCAGAAGCAGACCAGGAAGGAGAGAGTGAGCGCAAAGGAGAGGTAGTCGATCGACAGCGCTCGTTTCCACCGCGGTCGAGTATCTTCTTGTCCATCGAAGGGCGAGACGAGCGGGGTGCTAGGCAAGAAGACGGCCAGGGCGAGGAGAGTGGCGCCGCAGATGGGCAGGTAGACGTAGAAACACCAGCGCCATCCCCAAGAGGCGCCCAGATCCGTGAGTCCACCGCCGATTAACGGCCCGAAGACGGAGGCCAGGATGTAGCTCAAACCAAAGAGATCAAAGAGGCGTGATCGCCTCGCCGACGGGAGAATGTCCGTAGCGATTAAGAAAGTGGTGCTGAAGTCAGAGTGGAGTCAAAGGTTGAAACTTACTTCCACATACCAGCCCCGCCGAGAGCAGAGATGGCGCGACCGACGAGGAGGGCAGTCATGGAGGTAGCCGATCCTGAGACGGCGTTGCCTACCATGAAGATGATCAGGGCGGCTAGGTAGACATACCGTGGCGGGAAGATGCTCATGATTTGGGTGTAGAGCAGCAGAGCTGCAGCGCAGGGTATGAAGAAGCTGCAGTTAGCTCAGGTACATCTTTCTGCGAGGAGATACTCACGCGATATTTAGCCTGTAAGTCGGCGGTCAGTTCATGCAAGGGCTCCCTCACTGTCAGGCTTACCATGCAACTGTCTGTTAGCTGGATTCGCTACGTACTCGAGCTCAACACTTACTTCTATCCAACGCGTTGAAGTGGGCCGCTATCCGCGGTGCGGCAATGGTGACCAGGAACTGGTCCAGGGTGAACATGGCAACGTTGAGACTGCGAGTCAGCTTCACAACTACTGGACACCTACTTCATGGCGATGAAGACGATCCAGAAGCGGACAGGCGTCATGTTGGCATAGTCCGGCTCAGCCTCGCTGTCGACCCAGATGAACGAGTCGTTGGGTCGATGCCCAGACTGTATCCGATACTTGCTGTACGTCTGGGTCACAGACGCAATGCTGGGTTGAGTGTATGCATTCGATCGCATCGACTTTTCCGATTTGACCGACTTCGTCGATGGTCGAGACAGTGCCATGGATTTTGGTCGCGGGTGCGTACTTCTCGGTCGACCAGGCATACTCGTCGGCCGAGGCGGCAAGGCCTTGTTGTTCATGACATGCTGCAGAGCTATGCGCTCGAGCAGACTGCGTGTCGTGCTCTCTCTTCGTAGCATAACCCCCTTCTCCTTCTCGGCCTCCTTCTCGTCGGCTAGTGGTTGCGGTTCATCCGGTGGTGGTGGTGGGCTAGGCACCTCATCCCCACTATCCGGAACGACTGGACCGCTGGGGCTAGGAACGGCCTCCCCGGTAACATCGTCTTCCTTTGGCTCAGGCGGCCCGCACTCATGTGTTGTTTCTGATCCGGATTCCGACTCCGTCTGGTACGAGTCGAGGTCATCGTGATACGACGAGTCTGGGCTGTGTGGTCGGGCATCAGTGAAATCGTGCGTGTTCGTTGAGGTCGCCGCATCCGAGGTATAGTACGAGCTGCGGGACAAGTGGCGATCATTGATGCTTGATCCGTTCCCGAAGTCCTCTGCGGTCAGGTACGCGGGTGAAGCCGACCGAGAGTTGTGGGTCGAACCACTGACCCCGCTAAGCTTGCTGATCTTGCTGGTCTTGCTGATCCTGCTGGTTCGGCTAGCCTTACTGGCTCGGCTGCTTCTCTTGTAATTGAAGCTGGAGGGGATCTTCAGGTGGGTATCGAACTCGACTGGGGCAAAGTGAAGGACGTCGTCTAGTTGTGTACGCTCTTCCGGCTGCCAGTTCGAGCCTTGCGTCTGCCAGCTTGTCCGAGAGGTCGCAGTCGTCGCCATACTCTTGCCTGAGATCGTCCGTGTTCGCTCTTCCTCCGCATGTGGAGGTCCTAAGGACGATCCATCAGATAGTCGGACTGAAACCAGGCGGTTCGTCGTTAGCAGCGTCGGATCCTGCTCTTGCATGTCCTCATCTGGATCCTGACCAAGCGACCACGACTTCCAGGGAACGACGGTCGCTTCCGAGGAAGACGCTGCGGTCGAGTTGGGGCGACTCTTGTCGTCGTCGGCTGGCTGCTCTGACATGGCGGCGACGGCGGGGAGCGGTGGGTGTCAGGCGCCAAGAATCGGCAGTGGTGGGACGGGTCAGGCCGAGAACGAAAGATGGTGGAGCGTCGAGTGATGGAGGAAGACAAGTGCTGGATGTCGAAGTTCACCACATGTTGGCGTTGGATGGACCTCGACGAGCATCTGGTCACGATCTGTTGAGCACGAGGCCGGCGGAAGGGCAAGGGGTCGCGGGGTCGAGGGGCTCAGGCCCAGGTGAGGGGGAAGAGGACGGAAGACATGTGTTGGGAAGGACGAGAGCGACGATGCGGGAGCGGGCGAAGCATGAGCAGCGCACGGTGGTTAGAGACTAAAATAAGGGAGTCGCGTGCCTTTGCCGGCATGTCTGCGCGACCGACTCTGCCGCTTGGCCAGTTCGCCCAAGACATGACCCTCCCACGCAGACAAGGTTTGCAAGCTCATTACGAGGCGCTGGGTCCAGTACTGCAGACCCATCCTTTCCATCCCTTGTCCTGACGGGTACCGGGCCAGCGACTGCGCCGTAAGTTGCGGAGATCGTCAGCATGGCAGCACCTGTTCGTCTGGGAACCCCGACGCTTGATCATGCGGGCAGACGAGCGAGGTCGAATCAGCGAGCGCGGTAAGGAGGTAGTTGCCCGTTTCACCCAGCGTCCTTGAGGAACGTCGTTTCTGGTGCGCGGTGCAGCCTTGCCTGCCATCTCATCCGGGAGCTTATCGAGGGCCACGGTGACGCTGAAGCAAGCATTCCGATGATCCGATGTTTGCGTCGTCGCAGACTATTTTGTGTGTCAAGTGGTAGCGAGTGAGCGAGGACGTTGACTGAATTGTTCATAATGGTCGTCGGTGAGTGAGAGGGCCAGGAGGACAGGGTGGCAAAGGGTCCGTCTCATTCTAGGGCGCTGAGCGTATGGCAGCACGAGGCCCGTCGCAGGTACGCGCAGGGATCTTGCAGAGCTCCTGACACATGAAACGTATCTCTCGTCATCCCGTGTTTGATGCTCACAGGCCGTGCACCAAATCCCACCATCGCATCTTCAAACTGATCCCACCTCGGAACAGAACTGCTTTAACAGCAGGCTACCCAACCGATGCGCAGGCGGAGGGTGCTGATGTTAGCAGACTTGCAGGATGTCGAGCAGATCGAATCTCCGACGCCTCAGCGTCGCATCTGGCAGGCAGACATTGCTCATGACCCACTTGCCGGGCCCGGCTGTGCTAATTAATCCTTCTGTCTCCGAGCTTGACGAGTTTCGACATCTCTTTTGCCTCCATGCAGACTACGACGTCTGTAGTACGCTGCAGTAACGTGTCCGAGCTTCCGAAGCAAACTAACAACCCAACATTTCTCCTGCTGAAATCCCACACGACGAGCCCGTACCCGCCCGCCCGTCGCTGCGCCCAACGGCAGCAGTGGACTATACACCTGTGACAATCGTTCCAGTAACACCTCGTACCGTACGTCCATCCGATGCACCCCGTATCATGGGTTACTGGGCCCAAAACTCAATGCGCAACAAGCATACCGAAGTCTAGTCCGGACGGCATCACGGAAGGTCACCACGGAAGCATGACGAGAGTCCAGACCGCGTGAAGTGCACGTCGAGGACGAGTGTCTCGGAAGTTGTAGCGTCGCTGAGGCAAGTTGTGCCATGGTAGAGCAGCCGGTGCCGTTAGCGACCTACCAAAGACCCCCAAACGGAACGCTGCACTGCATGCGCAGGGTGGTCGCTGACCGTCACCTGCCGCCCTGGTCCGGTCGTTAGGTTGCTCTGCCCACTGCACTGGGTTCGATGCTCCTTAACCTTATCATGAGCCCGCCGGTCCCCCCGCTGGTGGTGGGAGAGTGCGGGCTCTGCGGAGTGTCTCGTCTGCCCTTGCAGTCCTTTGGCTTGCGTTTTGGCTGCCCGCTTGCAGTATAGTGCGAGGACGTCGCAGCTGAAACTGGCACCACGTTTTCACCCACGGTCGTCGATGCCGGCAGCTCAACGGCAAACGGCCGAGCATGCTGCAAGTTCGGCTCACTGTGAGATGCGCGATAACGAGTTTCAACGCCTATTGCATTGGGGATATGGGGAAGCTTCAGATCTACAGAACACACCTACACTCTCCTCATCCACGCGCCTATCGCGACTTGCACTGTAACACGTGCTGCGCCGGCTTCGTCTGTGACGTTTGCGACGCACCAACCTTCTTACCAGCGACCACCGCCGTAGCCACCGCCCTGCTGGCCGAAACCACCGGGGCCGCCAGGTCCTCCGGGACCACCGAAGCCCTGGCCACCGTAACCGTTCTGACCACCGTAGCCGTTCTGGCCGCCGTACCCGTTACCGAACTCGCGGCGAGCACCGGGACCGTGCTGCTCGTGGTTGTACTCCTGCCTCTGGTAGCCGGGGTTGCCGAACTCGCCAGACTGGCTCAGGGCGTGCTTGGCCCTCTCCTCGGCCTCGTGCTTTGCGCGCCACTTGTCGACCTCGTCGGCGCCCTTGGTCTCGCTGACGTCAGCACCACCCTTATCCAGACGGACATGCTCCTCCCTGCCTAACGGCCGCCTCCACCTCCACCATCGCCTTCGTCGCCTTTGCCACCTCTATGACGTCTCGCGGACGACGAGGCTTTCCAGAAGGAGAACTCCAGGTGAACAGGTGGGTCCTGGTCTTAGGACGGCGGGCGGAGAGGGATGGTCGAGGTTACTCACGCAAGCTTGGTAGCCTCCATACCGGCGAAGCCAGCGATGAGGTCCTTGGCGACCTCCCAGGACTGGGGCTTGCCGTTCTCCTCCTGGTGGTCCTGGTACTTCTTCATGGCGTAGAAGGAGGCAGCGCCGGCAAGGAGCTCGTGGCCTGGTGGTCAGTACTTGGCACCGAAGCAGGGAGCGATTTGACCCGTGGTCGTCGAGGGACTCGTCAGTCTGCCGTGCAGACGAGAGGGCCCAGCCTTGTCCGCGAGGAAGCGAGCCGGCGAACTTACTGAAGTGAGCCTCGTTGCCCTCCTGGACCTGCTGGTAGGCGCGACGGTCGTCCTCGTCGTCGTGGTTGAAGAAGCCCATTGTGACTGTTGTTGTTGTTGTTGTTGTTGTGAGAGCGGCGGGGCACCTTTGCACCTCTTATATACACCGCCGGTGACCTTGCCACGTCCACGCACACGCCCACGTTCATCGCCTCACTATGAGGCGTCTTCTGCTCTATTCTGGCTAGCCTAGATCCTGACTTCGGAACCCGATAGGGCTGACTCACCGCGATCGTGAGCGGTCGCCGCGCATCGCCAGGCGCTGCGAGAAGTGATCGACGGCTAATTCTGGCGCATGGCGCTGCCGCACGCGCATTCCGGTGCAATTGCACCAGCACCCTTCTGGAATCGCAGCATACCCGACTTGGACTCGACGAGAGCCCGCCGGGCGTGCAACGTAGAAATTGCGGGTACTGGTGTGCCATTCACCGTGACCAGTGCCAGCACACAGCAGGACTGGATTAGAACAGTGGCCGCAGGGCAGCTGCGTCAAGGGTGAGTCAAGGCAGGGCACTGGCGACGAGTGTGGCTAGAAATAGCACAAACTTCCTTCGCGTCCGTAGGATCCGGCACTGGCGTGCATTGCGCAGCCAATGATCGACGAAATCATTCGCGTCCCCGCTGCGCGCGTACCGAGCGTAGCGATGCGGCCACGGGATATGAACTCACACAGACCCGTCGCTCGCCTTATATCATCTCATTCTTGACTAGCGCTAGCCTGTGTTCCGATTTGGACCTCCGAAAGTGCCCATTACGAGCTGTTGACGGCAAGTGCGGGAGGCATGGCATTGACCTGCTCTATGAGAGCGGTTTTAACGAAGAGTGAGGAGAGGAGAACGGGGCGAAGAGCTGCCTCACGCAGCAGCTGCGCAGTCGGAGGCGTATGCGGTGTCCATAATTTACCGACCAGGACGCCGCGTCAGTCGTTGAAAGTCCTTGGTCACCGATCCGGGAATTCCGAACAGATCGCGAAGCCGCCGTATCTGCTGCATGCACTCTTCTCGTACCCGGGGCCACGCACCTTCGCTCACTCCGATCTCGCTCACTACAGAACAGCAGCTCTTACCGCCGTTTGAATGAAATGGTGTGGGTTGTCGCTGGCCCCAGTGCCATGAGCGTTCCCAGTACTGACAGTCCAACCCCGGCCCACCCGACAGTATTCGGACTAATCCCATTCTCCCCGTTGGCGTTCACACAGGCGGTTGCAAGACGCTTTACCCCCTTGGGCATCGGTTCAAGAACAGGAGGATACATTCACAGACAGGTCTAGGGCTACAACGGATGGCATTCTATCAGAAATCCAAAATACGAAGCGTGTCATTCAGTTCGTGGGTGTGGGTGGCGAATGGCTGCTGGAGCCATGGGCCGCGGCTGTCCGGCGCTAGTGCTCGATCGCCGCGGGTGCTCTTGCCACTGCCTTTCGAGCTGGTGGAGGTCACAGAGCTCTTGCAGCTGGCAGCCGGCTTCACCTTGTCGTTGGAAAGTAGCTACTGCTCAGAGATACGCATATGCGTTGACCATAGCGATGAGCGGAACAGTGCAAGGCTCAAGAAGACCGATGAAGGCGCACATAATGATGACGCCGATGGCTCGGACGCCAACGCCGATGGTGGAGGGCGTCAACCCGAAGGGCAACGCCAGTGAAGCGGTGCTGACCTTTCCCGGAGCGGTCTGTCCTCGGACCTGCAGAGGGTTCACCTGACGACGTCAGTCCGTCTCCGAGGTTGGACTATGGCGCCTGGGAAGCGGTCTACTCACTTGCTGTGCAGTGGCGACCAGCACCGCCAGTCCCAGAACGAGGAAGACGGAAGTGTTGGGGCTCTTTGAGATCGACATTCTGTCCATATTTGTGGGGCGGGGCCTCGGTCTTCTACTTCTTGCGGGGCGTGTGATGATCGTTGCCGTTCTTCGTTCCAACGTTCCGACGTTGTCGTCTGCGACAGACCAGCGCGAACAAGCGATGGACGCGCAAAGCCCTCGAGCTTATGTATGCGTCCCCTATCTGCTGATATGCTCTTGTGAGCGATGTGCAACTGGGAAGGCGGGGATGCATGCAGTAGCAAGTTTTCAGTGACTCACACGCTAACGTTCTGCGCTAGCCTGGTGCAAGGCTGGTTAAAGCGGTTCAAGGTCCCTCCGTGGCGGACCCATGGCTCTGCCCAGGCCGTGTCCATTCCTCAGCGTACTACAATGCAGCCACGGCACGGGTGCACGGCTGTTGCACGGGTCCGATTCACCAGTGTTCCACATCGCATCCCGATCCGTGGCGACCACCTCCGAAGCATACTAGCTGGCCCCTCGGGGCCTCGCTGCGACGAGCTGCAAGAACTAACGATAGGCGGCAGGAGGGTGCCTGACCAGTGTCAAGTTTTGAGGCGATCTGTGGGAATTTCGGTATGTGATCCGAACCGAACAACCCGAAAGAGTGATAAGCTATCTCAGTTGCTGTTATACAAGAGGGGTGCGAGCCTGTGAGCCTGCGAGCTTCGGACACGCCCGGATCCCGCAAACCGTAGTCTATGGCAGATGCTGAGAGCGCGGTGATCACGAGACGCACGCGATCCGGCGCCCGAAACTGCCGTCGGAATAGCTTGCATGATCTGCTCTGTCCATGGCGCTATCACGAGAGCCGAGGCTGGCCCCGTGTTTGCTTTGGCTCAGTTGGTTCTGGTAACTTTGCGTTATCCCGCGTCCGTGGGAGGAATGCTGCAGCGATGTGGAAGAGTTGAGAGGCCAGATGCGGGACGTACGTAGTGGGACGTGCAAACTTGCTTTGTGGACCTTATCCCCTCATTTCAGTGGCTGCCGTGTCTTCGAGAGACCAGCTGGAGAGGCTTCGGAACACTTGCTGCGCCGTTGGCCGGATAAGGAGGAGTAGCTAGTCCTGTGGAGCCTGTGACGGAGGGCCGAATTTCGGGTGTCGGCGACCGCCGTCCAGCCCCCGGGTGGCTGATATCGTCGCCCATGGAACAGTGAATCTCGGATGTTCAAACCGGGTTCCGGTCAAGCTCGAGTCCGACGGTGTCCCATATTGATACGGCCGAACTTGGCCATCGCAAGATCGAACAGTCAGAAGCTGATAACGAGCAAGCTATCGCATCGAGGAGGTAAACCAAACAGCCAAACACATGAGAGATGCATGTTATGATAGTGCTACAGGCATTGTCGATACAACTTTAGGACTTCTATGCTGTCCGCTTGAACAGCCGAGTTTGGTGTCACTTAGAGCGAGATGGCGAAGAGGATGCCGGTAACAGCGACGCCGAAGCTGAGTTCCGTGTGTCCAGCGGCCGAGCGCGAGCTGCCTCCGTAGTATCCGCCACTGTTGCGGCCACTCGAGCCTCGCCAGCTGGAACCAGAGCTGCCGCGCGAGCCGCCCGAGGAGCCACCAACGGAGCCACCGCGTGCACCGCCGCCGAATGAGAGGCCGTTGGCCATGTTCTTCTCGTCGTCGATGTCGACCTCCTTGTCAGTCTCAGAAGAGGAGTTCGTCTCGGCAACGGTCCCCTCGAACTCCGTGGACTCAGGCTCGATTACGTCGGCATTCACGAGAACCTCAGTTGGAGGAGCGGGTGCGTCGGGCCGCTCCTCAGTAGGCTCGTTGTTAATCACCGACTCTGAGGAATTGGCGGGGACAGGCTCGGCGCTAGCGATGGTGTTGCCCGTTGAGTCAGACTGGAATCAGCGTTGTCTGGATATCACGACATACAATAGGACGGGCACCGGCAACGGCGAGGAGACTAAGAACAGTGAAGCAGCTGAACTTCATTGCGATTGTGTGATGATGTCGTGGTGTGGCAGGGAAAGTTGGCTGATGTAAGGTGGAGCTCGAGAGCGCTAGAGGTGATTGTTGGTGCTGATCCCATCTCCTCGAGGGGTGTTGTTTTATACCTTGAACAGTTGATCATGACTTGCATCGCAAAGCCAGCGGTACGTCACGACTTTGAATCATAGATGCACCGCCTGAGTCGTGAGGACCGTGGTAGCGACGTTGCCGAGCGATACGGACAAAGGCACAAGATCTGCAGGGAACGCAGGGCCGCGGTTGTCACCCACCGCAGCGATTCACTGAATCTCGCAGACAGACAGCGGGGATAGTCATGTGACCTCGACACAGAGTTCTGCCAAAAGTCAGCCGTAATTTATCCCCGGACGAATGACGTTTAGCGCACACTGAGATGTGTTTCCGCCATGCGGAGAGGCGGTGCAGATAGTGGTGAGGGCAAACCAGCATGGTTTCGAGTTCTGAACTGTCCGAAACACAACAGGTGGCTGACCCGGTACGGGCGGTGCCGTTTGACTCTCCGACCCGGTGTAGAATCAGCATACTCCGCTTAGCGAAATGCCGCCGAGGTATGTTAATTAGGCTTATGAAGGATCTACGCATCGCCCCTACGAGATTCCGGTCCTGTGATGACACGCAATGTCGCGAAGCTGGTTGCTTTCCGGAACCTGGCGGAGATACGCACGATCAGAGCAGCCACTGGCCGCGGCTTAAGGATGAGTGCACGCCAACGGCGGTCCAAGTACAGCTGTTTCGGTCCGTGGAGCGAGAGATTCGATGGTGGCCGAGGTAGCGAGTGAGCCGGCTTCTCCTGTCGATGGGTTGAGCGAGAACCAGCGACGGGTTGCACGGAAATAACGAATCGTCTCGACCTCGCCTGAGAGGCGCTGATCGGCTATGCTAAGTGTCAGACTCATGCAGCACCGACGCGCAGACTTACCGGGGTTTCAACGTTTCCGTTACGCGCGGACTGCGACCGCTTCTGTAGTGCCACCACCCAGATCGGCGTTGGAGCCATGCTACACAAGATCTCACTTCTCCCACGAATGTATGTTAGCGGTCACTACTCTGACACCAGGCCCGTATGTTATTCAGCCAAATGGCGGCGATGTTGTCTCTCAGGTCTTCCAGGAACCGTACTCGACGATGCGCGGTAGCCACAACGCTCTGACCTCGACTGTCTCACAACGTCACAGCGCAGGTTCGAGCCCTACCGAGACCCACGAGACCATGCAGAAGCATGCAAACCAGAAGTAGCGCCCCGAGAGCAAAGAAGCAAAGTCAATGCAATCGGAATGTCTTTAGAGCCGGAAACGACAGACGAGACGGCAATCTCTGGTGCCCTCTCACCGGGCTGTGCGGATAATGTCTCGGGGGCTGTTCCGACGATGTTGATCCGCAATTGAGATTTATCGATAGCATTGCACAGCAATAGGGACAACAGGCTTGCGATATGACGAACCGGACTCTGGTTGGCAGCCTGCCGTTCCGACGGATGCATGAAGATGCGGTGCATGAGCGGCTGAAACGGTGACCCTCCAGGTCTGGTCGGGCAACCGGAGACGGAGGCGGATTTCGGCGTGCCTTCAGCTGACGTCTTGGCACAGCACCCAAGCTCGCCGCCTGAGCCTTCGTCCAAACAGAGTGGGCTATTTTCGCTCCTTACCCCACCGGATCCACAGTCATCTCCAACACATCCGACGCACAGGATATAAGCTCGACTTGGCACTGCATATCTTATCATCTCCCGTCGCATCGCACTAAACATCCATTCATTTAACGCCATGATCGTCCCCAAATACTTCATTCTCGCTGGCGCGCTTTCCACCCTCGTTTCCGCGAACCCGCTCCCGGTCGACAATACTGCAGTCGAGTCTCGTGACTTTGAGCCGGTCGACGCTATTCACGCTCGTGCCGAGGACCCCCCATCCGAGATCGACATCGATAACGATGAGGTCATCAACAAGATCGGCGGCGGCGGTGGCGCCCGTGGCGGCAGCGTCGGTGGCGGCTCGAGGGGTAGCTCTGGCAGTTCTGGCAGCTCCGGCGGTGGTTACCGTGGTAGCTCGGGCTCGAGTGGCAACCGTGGCTCGAGTGGTAACCGTGGTGCGGGTATCGCTGGAGCTGGTGCTGGAGCGGGTCTTGGAGCTGGTTTGGGCTACGGCGCCGCGCACGGAGGGCACTACGGCAACCGTAACAGCACCGAGTCCGAGCAGGCCCCGCAGAGCACTGGTGGCGCATCAGCCTCCAGCCCCGCCGCTTCTGCTCCAGCCCAGTCCCAGAGGGCCGCCGCTGGCCGCGCCTACCCTGCCACTGCTGCAGTAGTTGTTGCTGCCGCCATCTTCGCGTCGGTTTAAGCCACCACGCGAGCTGCCGACCGGTGCAGCCGAGTGAGATCTGAGCCCGTGCGCTCGCGCTCGCTGTGTGCTGTGCAGAGCGCCACCGTCCTCACTCTAGATCTCTAGAAGCTTTTATATTGTCCGCGACCCGACCTCAGCTCAACACCTCTCCTCATCGACTCCCACCATCATGCGCATTCTCACCATCGCCTGTGTTGCCACCGCCTTTGCCGCAGCGCTTCCCGCTGACGTGCGCCCCGCCGTCCAGTTCAACGACGTAGCTCTCATCCAACCCCTCAGCAGTGGCGGTAGTGCGCGCGGGGGCTCCGTCTCCAGCGGCTCTAAGAGCGGCTCAAGCTCCAGCTCGAATCCTGGATCCAAGAGCGGTTCGTCTAGCTCCAATTCAGGCTCCAAGTCATCCAATTCGGGGTCGAAAGGCTCATCTGGCTCTTCCAGTTGGCGGCCTTCCACTGGCTCCAGCGGCAACCGAGGATACAAAAACACGGCAGCCGGCGCCGCTGGCGGTGCGGCAGCGGGTGCCGGCCTCGTCTGCGTAGCAAACAACAACAACACAATCGATCCCAATGCGCTCAACAATACGAACGGCACGTTCACGATGAACTGCACGCAACAGCCGACGAGCAACGGCGCAGCTATCAACACGCCCGGCAGCGCTGTCGCGTACAATTCGGCTGCTTTGTTCGCCGCCGCCCTCCTCACCCTTCTGTAACCATCAAGGTAGTTGCCCTGTGGATAGCTTAGTGTGCATACATGTATTATTTAGTCCTAGAGACCAGGGCCTCGTCGCAAGCGTCGAGATCTGCATAGTTTGGGCGGCAACAAGCCGAGCGAGTATCTTATCAGTGCACCAGTGACGTGAGGGGCGGTGCAAGCGGGCGTCGAGGATAATAGTGGCGACGCATAGGCAACGGCATATGGGTCGACTGCCGACGTCCAACTCGACTGCCTCGGCCACCGTCAGTCCGAGGTCCGCGGTCTTCCCACCCCGAGCTCTGCTGCGAGCAGCGCATTCGGTACCTCGGTGGCCGCAGCGAAATGGCCGGTAGAACGCCCTCGTGAGATCGCACAACAAGTTGACTCCGCCGATGGGGACGAGGAACGTTTCTAGAAGACATACAAAGCTACACTGTCCTAATCTCTTCAAGCAACGCCGACTCACAACGTCCCACAAACAGCATGCGCATCGTTCACACCACTCTCATCGCGACCGCCCTAGTGGCCGCTGTCCCCGACGCTCCCGACGCTCCCGGCTCCGGCGTCGACCTCAGCACCAAGCAACCGGTCAACGACAGTTCTGTCACCCAGCCTATGGACAGCGTTGGCTCTCCGGGATCTCGACATGCCAGCGGATCGAGTGGCTCGAAGGGGGAGCTCTCCGCAAGCTCATCAAATGGCTCGCTCAGTCCGCTTGACGGAGGGAGCAAAGAGCACCGCGGCGCAGCTGTAGCAGCAGCAGCTGGCATAATCGCAGGCGCGGCCGCGGCTGCTGGCATCCTCGACGAGAGCAGCGCGAAAGAGCCTCTTTTCGACTTTGAGACCATATCGAGGCTTTTGCTCAGCGTGCTGCTCTCCTTCTTGATCTTCACCTTCATCTTATTCCTATAGGGCCGCCAGCCGCTGTACTCCTCAAGCACTGTGGCCGAGACAGTTGGCTCAGTGAGCTCTATGTATCGCTTAGCATTCGTTAGTATGGCAGTGAAAACGAAGCAGTGGGAACTGGAGGTCGGAGGCGTGAGCATGCATGGGAGACCGCGGACCAAGGCTCGCCGCTGCCACGCGGCGATCACCGCGATGCAGCATTTGAGTCGCACAGGCAGCCTCCTCCATATCTCCTGACCCGCCGCGGCGGCGTCTTCAACATGCTCCGAAGACAACAGCCGCACAGACCTTCGGTCTCCCAAGTCGACCCCGATGCAGCCGGGTGCCAGGTCTTCTGCGCCTGCGTGTCACTCGTGTCTCCGCAGCATGATGTGGGCGACGCACGGAGCGAAGCATATAGGGCACTCCCTCTCCTTCCTTCATCTTCGCAAGCGACAACATGCGCCTCATTCACCTCGTTCTCGCCGCTACCACTCTGGCCGCCATCTCAGAGCCCAATGGCGAGCCCCATATCGACGACAACTCCATGATCGACCCCCTCAGCAGTGGCGCGAGCGCGAGTGGCGGCAGCGTCTCCGGCTCTACCGGGTCTTCTGGCTCATCGGGGTCCAAAGGTTCCACCTCCAACAGCGGCGCTGCGTCAGGTGGTGGCGTGATTCCGGGCGGCGGTACGAAGAACGGCGGCTCCTCGTCATCGGGAGGCTCGGGAGGTTCGCGCGCCGGCAGCGGCGTGGCTTCGGGAGGTGCCGAGGGCGGCGGGGACAAGGGTGGCGATGCGGATGACGGCGACGGCGGCGGCAGTGGCAGCGGCAGCGGTTCGAATGGTAGAGCCCCAAGCAGCGGTGGCGGAAACGTTGGCAACCCCGCGACCACCAGCCAGGTTGTAGCGTCAGCCCCGGCTTGGCGACCGGCGAATCAGGCGACTTCAAAGATGCCCCTTGATGCTGCTACCGGCTCAGCCGCCTTGCTCGCCAGTGCGATCATCGCTCTCCTTTAACCGCAACCTCACCCGCTGCCGTGGTGTCTTCCACTCATAGCTCCTGGATAACGACCATGCAAGAATGATTCCCGATATCTTAGCTTGATCCTCGGCATGTAATGATCGGTGATGGACGATGAGAATCGTCGCCTGTGAGGAAGGTGTTAGTCCTGGCAGCAGTCCTAGCAGTGCCTCCTCTCTGAGGAACGATGAATGCCTTGTTCCGCTGATGTACGTCTCCTCTTATATGAACAGTGCCTGCTCCGTTCCGCTGCACGGTAGGCTTGGGTTGCCGCTCGCCCAGATTCTTAAGTGAACTTGAGCTGTGCTGAGGCGTGACGATCGTCACTCTGTGCAGTGACATGCGTGCGTGCGGCCGGAACGCGGCGAATCATCCTCGATCAAGATTGTGGCTTCCTTTCACTCCTCTAAATCTTGCGGGTCATGATGGAGCTCGCGTAGCGCTAAATACATTGATTCTCATTTGATCCAGCGACACGCGTCTCCACATTGCGACAAGCACATGCACATTAGCTCTCGATGAAACCCCGGATCTGATTCAAATGAGAAAACGTGGGGCGATGGAGGTGATCGCAATATAGATCTGGGGGCTTCGTCGTTATCACGGTGAAGTCGCATGGCAGAACACGCTATCCTCACCTGCATCACTCACATTGACTCGACGCAACCTCATGCCGATAAGATGAATTCGGGGCTTGGAGGAACTGCAGGGTTGGAGTTGCGGGTGAACAATGGGCAGCGGCGCCACGCGGACCCAGTTTGCTCACCCTGCGCACGCCCTACGCCCCAGTCTCACACGCGGAGCTGCGTACGGACGCGCAAGCCGCGGAGTTGCAATTCCTCCCTCCACTTTCCCATCTCAGCAAAGACGTCAACTGCGAGGCAGTGAGAAGAGAGATCTGCAGCACTGCCCACTGCTTGAGCCTGCAATGGCAGGTGCATGGGCTAGTAGGTAGCATGCACCGCTGATCCCTAACTGTAAATACGAAGGTTCGGAGCTCTGCACCGAGTACTGCTAGAGCTCCCGCGGGTGCGGTGTGACGCTACCCATGCGACAGGGATGTGCTCGGCAGGGCGGCGCCGGGGCGCCGGAACCCGGGTGGAAGGCGTACGGGCGATTGCATGCATGCATCTCTGGGCAGGAGAAGGGCACAGGGAGTGCGCAGGGAAGAGATCTCGGGCGCGCAGATGGGTGTTCGTTGGGCGTTCGATGGGCGTTCTCTGAGCGCGCTTGATGCACATCCGAGCGCGTCCTGGCGCCGTCGAGGCGCTCGGTACCTCGGTGGCGTCGTTTTGGCGTCAGGAACGCCCGGCCCATGGGGCCCTGCTGGTAGCGTGATGGCTCGTGCGCAGCTTAGCCCCGAGAATTGTCGAGTTATCCTGCGATCTCGCTGCGAGCATGCGGCCTGCGGAGTGACCCTTCCCTCGGTCCTTGTAATGCTCACGCAAGCGCGGAGCACAGAGAGACCGGCGCGCCGTGACTGGTACATATATCAATGCTATCTGGAGAGGAGGCCTCTCGAATCCTCTTGCTCCACTCATATCAGACTCGGCGCAACACCACTGACACCGTTGTTTTTGCCACCAGCATTCAGATATTCAGACACCAACGCCGACGCCGACACACACAGTTGTATCACGGCTAAGCTTCTCGCACTACGACTCTACGACTCCGAGACAAGGCGTAGCACATACCGACGGCTTAGAGCTTGTACATCGTACATCTGGTACAGCTCTGAAACAAACGCCCAACACAAAGTGTGCAACTACCCAGAGCTCGTTTCTGGATCAGCGTCGCCCTCACAGCATACCCCAGCCAGCCTGAGCATCAGAGCGCACGAGCTCTTTGTCTTGGCTCCACTGCCCATCCTGTCCATCCTCATTACGCACGGCTCAGCCGCACAGGACAAAGCCAAAGCGACAAAGCAGTCGCCGAGTCAGACCACGGACAAAACAAACTGCTGGCCAGCTGTCGTCGGTCGACAGTACATAGCTCTTCCTCGTCCGAGCTCACTTCGACTTTCTCGCCTTCCCTCTCAACACTGCAAGCCACAATGCGCCTCTCCGTCTTCCTCATTGCCGCTGGGCTAGTCTCCGGCGCCGCCATCCCGGTCCGTAATGTGAGTCATACCCCCCCACCTGAGATGCAAAGCACTGCTGCTCAAAGGGCGATCGAATGCAGCTAACCCCAGGCCGAGCGCGAGATGGCCTTCGTCCGTCGAGCCGGTCTCGAACGGGAGCGCGGCGTGCAGGCGCGTGCTGCCGTGCAGTCCACTCGCGCAACGCTGGAGCAAGACATCGTCGCCGCTATCCACCCCCGCGCTCCCGAGCCCGCCGCCATCAAGCCCAACGAGGCGCTCAACCCCCGCAGCCACGGCTGGGACGCTGTCGAGCGCGGTGCGGTCGACATCTGGGTCGAGTAGAAGGACGGCCTCGACATCTGGGACGAATGACAGCTGTACTCGTCCCCTCTCGACCATATCATACGCATCATCATACGCATCCCGCATCATACTTCAATCCCTGTTCAATGTAGTGTACATTATGCAACGACCTCATGCCCTCATGCTTTTAGTGCTGGATATCCTTCTGAAGTTCCCAAGATTCGCTGTACGGTCCCACACTGTCCTCTGTTGTTGGTTGTATCGGGGCGATCACTGATCGTCGCCATCAGATTCGGCCTGCGGGCCTCGGACGTCCTCGAGCCACTCGTCCAACGTCCGATTCCCGCGTTCCGGGAACCATCCAAACTCGCGGAGGTTGACGCGCTCCTCGCCTCCAACAGTCTCGACCGTGACGCCCTCGGCCTCAAGGCGCTCACGCTGACGTGCGACACCAAGGCCGCTGTCTCCTCGTGGAGAGAGTACGCCCTTCGCTGAGATCACACGCTGCTGTGAGCTTCCATGTCGGCTAGTCTAGCTCACCTGCCACGGCACTGTTGAGTTGGGCGACAGCGCCTTCATCGCGTTCCCGACATGTCTGCTGTCAGCTCTGCGTGAACGATGAAGCTGTGAGTATTTCGGTGCGGCTTGGCCGTTGGCTCCAGAAGGAGGGGAAAGGCAGTCTTACCTTGAGTACGCGGGATACCCTGCCAGCTTCGCAATGTGGCCTGTCAGTCAGTTCCGGAGGCCTCATCAGCAGCTGAACATACCATAGCTAGTCACGCGACCAGGAGGGATGGCGCGCGCGATCTCGTACGCACGCGCCGTGAGCTCGACAATGGCCTCGCTCATGACAGCACTGATGACGACAGATCAGGGATAGGCCGCACCTGCCGTTGTTGTAGCCTGTCGCTTTTCGTGAGGAGAACTGCGGGAGGAAGACGGCCGGAGAGGTATCGGTTTTCTTAGCGGTGGTCACCGCCTGACGTGGTTGCCGCCTGACGTAGTTGCCCGACAAGCGATGCAGTCCTGGTGCACCTGGTGACGAATGAGTGATCGAGCGATGAACGAAGGCAAGGGACGCGGAAGGGACGGAGAAGTGGTATGACGCGCAAGTCCGATGCGAGCGGTGCAGTGCGAGAACTCGGAGTTGTCCGCAGCAGCCGGCGGCGAGTCGACAGCTCGCCTGATGCGTCTGAGTCAACCTTACCATGGCTTACCAGGCTTCCGAACTGATGAGCGGAATTCAGGAATTCAAGGAAAAGCGCGGATCACCACGTGGGTTGATGTCACTGTTCATTTAAGGTCGATGAAATTATTGGGGCACCCCACCTTGGCAACGGGCCAGGCTGGGCAGGGTTGGCTGCAGCGCTGTAGGTCTGAGTGCCGTCCTGCGCGCCTGCGGGTCTGCGCCCCTGCACGTCCTGCGCTACCAGCACTGGCCAGGCGACCAGCGTAAACCAGCTGACAAGTCAGGCTGGGCCGAGGCCTGCCCCCCTGCCGTTCCAGTCACACCTCCAGGAAAGTCCATCAGCACTAGACCACTTCCACACCCGATACCCTCCCCTCACTGCTCACGACGACAACAACAAACTCTCTCCCCGTTCGACACTCTTCTACCAACACATCTCCACATCCTCGATCCTCACACTCAACACCTTTCATCAGCGCACCGTCATCTTCCCACCTCTCGCACGAGTTTACGAGCGCATCGACCACTGTCCCCGGTTATATCCGCCTTCCCCCACATCTACGACACCCAGTCCATTCGGCTGGGTCAGCCTTTCCCGCCGCCTCCGTCGCCCAGTACACGATGGTCGCCGTTCCAATGCTCCCTACGCCAACTCCCCAGCCGCCTTGGGAGCCCGCGCAGCCGCCGTCACACATGCTGCTGCAAGAATGGAAGTGAGTAACGTTTCCAGGAGCGGGGCAGGAACGTAAACAATTGGTCAGACATCGATTCATGAGTCTGGGTCGGGTACTCTTGTACCTTCGAGAGCTTTGATCGCGAGCGCAAGGAAGCGTCTGTTTGCTTCTGTCGCTACGCTTTGAGCATCCCAGTCGAGAGTAGCGGCGACCGCCTGCTAGCCAGCCAGTCCTGTGTCGCTTCAAGCAAGCCGTGGCCGCCATGGCTTAGCTCGAAAGCACATACCACAGCCCAAGCATTTCTAAGGGAGGAGATACGTTGATTTCCCACCATCACGCTCCTCAGGATCCTTGCCCCAACGGCCTTCCTCGCTCACCGGCTCTTGCCTCTCCACACTCTGTCTTCTCATGACGACCGCTTCTCCTACGGCAGTCGTCAACCCGCCCAAGGGTTGGCGGCGGGGCCATATCCACGGCGGACCCGCAGCCCACGCCCACGAAGCTGACAATAGGTACGAAATGCGCAGAGAGGCGCAGGAGATCATCCCAGGCGTCTTCCTCGGCCCTATCCAAGCCAGCACAAACTTGAATCGCCTAAAGTCCATGGGCATTACCCATATGTGAGTCAAGCGCACACACAACCTCGCAGCTGCAGTTCGAAATACCGGCGCTCCACACCGTGTTATTCCTTGGCGGCCGACGCTAGTGACGGGCCGTCATTCCGGACACCGAATGCGGGTCATCCTCACCGTGTGAGGGTGGCAACGCAGCGACGGATTCCGCGATAGTCCAATTCGACTTTCGATCACATGCTCATCTGCACATCTAATCGCTTCGGCCCAGTCCAGACCACGCTGACGTTCGCGCAGTTTGTGCCTTCGCGATTCTGTGGAAGCCCGTCTCGTCTTCCCCCGTTTCCCGACAGAGTTTCAGTACCTGACTATGGACGTCTCTGACTCTGATGTAAGCTAGTTCACTTTCGTGCGTTAAGCTAACATGCAGGAGCAAAATCTCATTTCCATCTTCCCCCGATCACGCGTCTTCATCGACGAGGCACTCTCGATAGGAGGGGCTGTTCTGATCCACTGCATGAGTGAGTTGCCGTAAGTGAGCCGTTCTAACTCTCAGACGGGATCGCGACTGCTCCGGCAATTGCTATCGGCTACCTGATGGACAAGTTTGGCTGGGAGTACACAACAGCTCTCGGATACGTGCAGAGCAAGCGATATTGCGTTGCCCCGGCTAGCGTGAGTTGTAGCTCTTTCACACTGAACTGATGATCAGTTTGAGATCCAGTTGCGCGAGTACGCCGCGATCGCCGCTGCCCAGAAGAGCGTGACGGGAGTGCCCGCCTCGATGGGGGTACACAAGCGAGTGTGGGACGGCGAGGGCGAGGTATCGGACCGCCAAGCGCCGGGGCGGAAGCGTGCGTTATCGACGGACATGGACATGGACTGAGGGCCGGGAGTTGAATGACTGTCCAGGCCGCTGAGACGGAGAGAAGACGCAAAGCAGAAGAGTCGCTCACCACACCATCACCGCGCATACCCACCACCACGCCCACACACGCCCTCACATGCCTCCGCACGCCCAACAAACATCAGCATCAGTATCGGCAGACTGGTGTCATAATGCCAGCCTTTCATGAGGCAAACCAACAGCTTTAATTCCATGTGCATGCTGCTGGCGACGTCGCCGGTGTGCATCCGATCCGCGCCCCGCGCCAGCAGCCCCCATTCGATTGTTGTAGTATAGATGACACATCAGAGATTTCATAGAGCGCTCTCAAAGAGTAGGGAGCAGGTAGCAGCCAGAAGTAGCGATTATGCAAAGACAGCATAGCACAATCAGAACCGTCAAAACATCAAGCATTTCGTGTGCATTACAGTTTTACAACCCCAGACGTTGTGAAGGGGTGGCGCTAGGCGCATGCGAATTATCAAGGTGATACTAGCCTACTGGGTAACGGGGAAGGGGAGGGGGTAAAGAGGGTGGTGTGTAGCTACAAAAGTCAATGCGAATGCAAGTGGGGAAGCGGTATCAAGCGAGAAAGCGACAACCGGATCTACTGCTCTTACTCCTGCACGCCCTGGATGAGCAGCTCGGTCGCCCGCTCATAATGCAGCGGCATATGGTCCTTGAGCATGCTCTTCGTAAAGCTGAGCTCGCCAAAGCGCTCGCGCACGCTCTCGCACAGCCGGAGAATGACGCGGCGCGCGCGCTGGCTCGAATTGCTGTTGTTCTCGCCGGCCCCAGAGGACGCGGTGAGGAACACGTCGCTGTACTCCATGATGTACACGGAGCCGGGCGGGTACAGCTTGTCGTTGTCCATGTCTGCGCGCATGGTCTTGATCAGGCTCTCCATCCAGTCGTGCAGCATTTGCTCGTCGTCTGCAGCGTTGTGGCCAGAGGAGGGAGTGTCGGAGGAAGCCGAGTCACCCTCAAAGGCAAACTTGCGCTTGTTGAGGCCGAGGATCCGGCCGACAATCTCCTCGGCAATCCCGCCCTCCTCGTACAGTGTCACGGCCACGTTCTTCAGGTCACGCAGCACGCCGAGCGAGAGCGAGGGCACGACGTCGCTGTTCTGGATCACGGAGGTCACCAGGCCGTCGCAGTACTTGCCCAGATCGTAAGATGCGACAGCAGGCACGCCGTACGCGTACACGTGTATGGGGCGGCCGGGGGGCAGGCCCGAGCCGAAGCTCGTCACAAATTTGGTGCTGATGGGTGGATGCTTGACTTTGCGCTCGCGTTTGGCGTTTTGCGCCATGAACAGCGTCGCGCGCTGCGCCCACTCGATCCCGAGCAGGGCCGCCACGCCACCGCCTAGACTGTGTCCGCACAGCACGAGGCCGTAGTTCGGGTACTGCTCTAGTGCCTCCACGAGACACTGGTGCACCGTCGACGCGCGCGAGGTTAACTGCAGCGCACTCTCGTGCATGCCCGCGTGCACTTGGAAGTCGCCCTCGACGCCCTCGATCTGGATCGGGCGTTACTGGCACGTCAGGTCGACGAGGACATCGTTCAGCCCCAGCGTGCCGCGGCACGTGAGCACGATCGCGCGTAGGCCGTGCTCGACAGCAATGTAGTGCACGAGCGGCGGCGCCTTGTGCCCGCTGAGCGGCGAGGTCTCGGTGTACGACGACAGGATCAGGTTGTTGATCGGGATGTTGGTGTGGCGCGCAAACGCCCACGAGTTGGCGTGGTGCCCTCCCGCTGTCGTGTAGTGGAAGTCGGTGTTGCCGAGGCCGAGGATGCGCAGGAAGTTCTGCCCGTACGCCGCGGACGAGTACCGCATGAACCGGTGGATGTTCCGGATCAGACCCTCGTGCGGGAAAAGGCTTGCCGAGGACTCGATGTCGGGGCCAAAGATCTGCGAGGACGACGTGTGAATCGCGTTGGACCGCGTGCGCACGCTCTGGTGCACGCTGTGCTCGCGCTCCCCACGCATCGGCGTCAGCGGTGAGGGCGCGGGAGCGGGAGCCGAACGGGGCTGGCTAGCGCGAGGCGTGTTGGCTCGCGGAGGCGGCGCCGAGGGCGGCTCCTCGTCCTCCACGCCTGGGAAAGCAGTCGGCTTCCTTCGCAGCGTCGAGCGGAAGGCGTTCGCGAGCCCGCCTTCCGAGTTGTTCCGCCTCGGTTCGTCGTGCCCGCGCGTGCTATAGCCGGAAAAGAAGCGTCGCTTCGGCTTGAGGGAGGAGCGATTGCCAGCCGCAATCGAGTCGGACGACGAGCGTCTACTAGACGGCCCGATGTCGTTGTGACTGCTGCTGCGGGGTGGGGTGCCGCTTCGCGGAGGTGGGGTGCCACTGGTCCGTGCTCGAGAAGCGGCGACAGCCTGGCGCCAGTCGATCTGGCGAACGTCTGGCCGTTCGTGCTCCCTTATCGTTGCTGGGGAGCTCTCTCGTTCGCGCTCCTTCTCCTTGCGGTGCGATGGTGGGGGACTCGGCGATGGCGACATGCGCGGCGACAAGCCCACGTTCTGGACACGCCGCACGGTGCGCTTGCGCTGCAGCAGCTTGTTCGTCATGGTTCGGAGGACGAGTTGGATGCGCTCGGCGTTGGGGGGCTCGGAGGCGACGGCGGCAACGCGGCCGTTCGGAGCCGAAGGCACAAGAGCATCATCCTGCCCATCTAAGAGCTGGTCGACCTCGATCCACTCGGCCGGGTCCTCGTCCATGACGCCCGTCGGCGTCGTGAGGGGAGTGGCGGGGGGAGGTCGGCTCATCGCCTCGTCCTCAACCTCCTCGACCAGGATGTCGGCGGCCGTCTCGCTCTGAGCCCGTTTCAGGCTCGGGCGAGTGTCGACGCGCTCCAATGTCCGCGTCACGACTGTCGACTCTTGCAGCTCGTCCATGATTTCGAACACGTCACCACGGACGCGTTTCAGCGTGCGATGCGGCTGCGAGTTGGAGCGGTCCCGTGTCTTGGCGATCGGTGATACGGGGGCCGACACGGATCGGTCCGCGTCCCCCACGAATTCCTCCAGCTGGCGGAACAGCTCGTCGTCCTCCTGCTGCCGCGAGCGCAGGGACGAGCGGCGTGAAGGCCGACTCGACACATCCTCCATCGTCACGTCACCCTGCTCGTCTGTCTCGTATAACAGACTGGGAATCTCTCGTTCACGTTCGCGCCGAGCAGCGATCGTCCGCGGCCCCGGTCCTGCTTCCGGCAATGCCGAATGGGTGGGCTCACTGACTTCGCTCTTGAAGGTTTCATCGTCGCTGATGACGACCGTGCAGTCGTACAATCTGATGTCAGCTGGTGGAAAATGCGACGCAGCTTACACTCTCATCTTTAGCCGCTTCGCGCTTCGCGACCAAGTTGCATTCTGAAGGCACGCAAACGCCGTGAGGGCCTTCGTGAGCGCCGTGAGGCTGGCAACCTTGCCGCGGTCGGCGGCCTGGAAGCGCTCGTCCTCGAGGAGCTCTTGGCGGACGAGGGCGATGATCGACGACAGTGCCCGGCTCGACTCATTCGATCCGAAGAGCGAGTCGAACAGCGTGACGCTCTCGTGGGCGGCAAAACTCGCCGACTGCACCGTGTTGGCCGTCAGGTAAAAGCCAGACATGGCAAACAGCTCGGCGAGCGTGAACGTGTGATGGATCACGTAGATGCCGACGTTCGTCCACCGGTCCAAGACATTGAGGAACGCATCGGCCTGGACGTCAAGCTTCTCGGGATCTGAGGATGGCGTCAGCCTGTCTGTTACGCATACAATCGTTTGCTCGACAACACACGCCCCTTGCCGCAGCGGGTCGGGGCTGTGATGACCCCATGATGCGCCGCCCTATCCGTGTTTGCCAAGCGCAGGCATCACTGGGGCCGAGCGGGGTCCGGGGCTTGCGGGCAGGAGGCACGCGGGCAAGGACCCGGCGTCGCACCACGGCGGCCGTCATTGTGTGTGTGCAACACTGCTTCCCGTTCCGTACAGGTTCGGGGTACTCACCGTCTCCACTTGCTGTCAGGTATACTCTCCGTGCGCTCGAGATTGCTCCGATCAGGAGCCTCCGCGTGAGGCCGAGTCCGAGGCGCGTACTGTTCTGCGACGTCTCCAGAATCGCCTCGATGAAGAACGCCGTCACGCGGAGACTGAGCCGCGCACTGGTTGCGATGGCCGTGACGAGGTTGGCGATTGGGGTCGGGAAAATGGTGGGCGCGAGCGCGACCGCCGCACTCGAAGCGTGCAGCACGACCTGCCCCGCCATCTCGGCCGTCATGTTCGCTGTCGTAGTCACGGCGCCGCCACCGCTGCCGCCCTCATCGCCATTCGGGGGCTGTGTCGATGTCTCGCCCGGACCGTCTTGGCTCTGCCTGTCGCTGTTGCTGGACCCAGGAGCAGGCGCGACTGGCCGCTGGAGAGTCGAGCTCGTCATCATTTGGTCTACCAGGAGACAGGCGACGGAGGGTGTCTCTTCACCTTCACTGTTTCGCTGGCTGTTGCCGTGCTCGCGTCCTCGTGCTCCGCGAGCTCGCTCTGTCGTCCCACACACTGATCGACCGAAGTGTCTGAGAGGCCCGTTTTCGACTTGAAGGACGACAGAAAGAGGTAACAGTTAAGGCCGCGGGTTTGCAGAAGAAATCCAATCGGCGCTCTGGCAGATCCAGCGATCCCAGTTCAGCAGAGAGAGCCTGGGATCACACTACGTCACGGCGGGCGATTTCTTCTCCCGCACGCTTGGGAGCTGGTCCGTGTGACCTTGACTCGGGTAAAGGTGGTGCAGGCCGGGGCTGCAAAGGGCTCAGCAAGGGCTTGAAAGGGACGGGGCGGGGTGGGGTGTGGGTATGGGTATGCGGGGGCGGTCAGGTGAATCGCTTTCAAGGGTGGACGAGGGAGCTGGCTGGCTGGCTTGTTGGCTGACGGGCTGGCTGGGTTGGCTGGCGGCGGCGCCTTAAGCTCAGAAGCGAGTGCCGAAAGTGGGGTAAGGATTCGTGGTGCGGGGGCGTATGGTCGTTAATTGGTCGTTGCCGGGTCGTATCTGCAGTTCGCGAGTGTATGTATGGCGCGAAGTTGAGTGGTGCGTGTCGGCTAGAGAAAAAGGACGAACGGAAGACGAGGACAAGGAAGGTAGTACGGAGATGAAAGATGGACTACTAGACAAGGAAGGGAAACAGGGAAGCCAGCGCCGCGCTTCCCGAATTAAGGATTCGAGGATGGACGCGATGTGTTGATGTCGATTTCAGAGTTGGGTGGCAAATACAATCAAAGTACGAGCCCGATCGTTCGAACGTGACACCCGTCCGACTCACCCCCTGTCGCCCTGTCAACTGCACGTAGGCAGAACCGAGTGGGATGCCTCGGATCTTCGGCTCTGAAACGAGCGCTGCAATGCTGGCACGCAGACTTGCCGCTGGGCCGCTGGGCGTGCCGGAACTAGTGGAGACTGCGTACGCGGCAGAAATGCTCGACTCTACTGCGCTTCCAATGTTCTAGGGCGCAATCTCAGGGCGGTCCCAGGCTGGCGGTGCGTAGTGCTGTGGTGCGGGGTAGTGGCGGACTGTTGGGGTGCGATGCGGGGGTGCGTTGGTGCTGTTGCCCACGGCGATACGGCGAGCCAGTGGCGCAGCGGGGAGGAAAGGAGGGTGCGTGAGGAACGGCGTGAGGTGACGTGAGACCAGACGGGGCCGAGGGCCGAGGCAGGGAGACGCCGAGGAGGGGGGAGCGGGCAATCTTAACTCTGTTCTGCGTGTTCTGGCAGACAGGAGTAGAGCTTGTTTGTCCGTGTCTTCTTGTTGTGTGTCGTGCCTTTCGTATTCACCTTTTCCTCGTGATTGGCGTCAACAAAGGGTGCTTGGTTTGCAGCGGCGATGAATCGTTATATGTCAGCGTCAAGCCGTCGATTCAACAGCTTTGCTGACGGAGACACTGGCGACGCTGGCGTGTCTGTCGCAAGCGTGCAAGTCCGATGGGGTACAAGGGGCGTCCGGACTGTGCGTTGGGGTCGTAACGAGGTACCGCAGATGGGTGGACGGGTGTGTATCAACGTGTGTAGATGTGTTCGGGAAACTCGTTTTCGGACGCAAGGACCGGGTCGCGGGTCGTCGACCGGAATACAGGTGTGTGCTATGTGGGCAAGCTGGATAGGTAACTGGGTATGTCTGTGTGCGTATGTGCGTGTAGAGTGCGTGCGAAAACGTTGCAGGGACAAACACACCCTCGTCGGTCCCCAAAGCGGGAGTGCAGGCGGGCGCCACTGGCTGTTTCGCAAAGCTCGCGAGTGAAGACAGAGCGCAGCTAGCGCAGCACAACCACCGAGCCGCTCCCTTTTGCTTAATTTGCTTCGCGATCAGCGTCATCTCCGGAAGCACTCCCCCTAGCTCCCTCATAATGCAGCGCCGCCCTCGAACGCCCTTGCCACTCGTACGTCGTCAAGTCCTCAGTCCGGCGACCTCGCTGCATTCCCTCTTCGAGCATTCGCCACGTATCCACCCGTCCACACGTCCTCGCGCACCGGGACGGCAGGTGATGTTCTAGATCTACCGACCTGCATTTCAGCCATACGTCGCAAGCCCGCAGGGCCCGCAGTTTAGCAGTTGACCAAAGCAGTGAGAAAGGAGGGTCCGCACCACCTGTTCCACGTGCAGCAGGCGGCATACCTATGCGAGTCCCGTAGATCCGTAGAGGTGCACAGGCGGCGTTGCCCGCACAGGTCATCCCTTGGTCAATGATCGCATGCAAAGAGGCCAGTGGGCCGGACGTGGGCCTCGTTGCGGCGTCCAAGCGTCCCGGTGTGTTCCACGACTGAAAATCGAGGCTGCGGCAAGGGACATCAACAATCAACGCAACGTCATCTCCGCACTGGACCCTGGACTGGCTAGATAACGAGGCCGATATCCGCAGACCCACGCTACACGCGTGAACGCGCGCCAACAGTCAGCAACGTCATGCTTACCACGCGTACACGTTGAAAATGCACACTTGTTCGGACTCCAGAACTCCGTCCAGCCTACCATTTCCGGTGACATTCCTTCTGCCTGCGGTTTGGTCCGCACCTTGCCGTCATCATATGAATAGTGGAGCACGTACTCCACAAACTATGCTGGTGTCGTATATTCACCCTCAGGCTCATAGTAGCAATGCTCGTAAGGGTCATGACATCTGACATGGCGCCTCTGGACACCAGGTCGATTACAAGAATGCTGATATGTGATATGGGTGCTGGGTGGTATGTGGAAGAATGACGAGAGTTGAGTGTTCAAGAATGGTCTTGCTCGAGGTCGTCGAGGTATGCGATCCACTGCTTCTTGTACAGGGCGCCGCGGTACGTGCCGCGCGAGTCGGTGACGAGGATCTGGCGCGATCCGAGCTTGATGAAGAGCTCCTGGACGAGCTCCAGGGGCGAGTGCATCTGGACGGTGATGGGTGCCTGAGTTTGGTCAGCCATGGACCTCTTGTCTTTGTCAGACGGCGCCATTCTCGACGGAGAGTCGGTTCTGCGCGCCTTGAGACTGCACTCACTCGGTCAATGTACTGGCTCAGGTCGTACGGGTTGTGGCGACCATCAACGCTCTCGGAGAAGCTGAAGATGGATAGGCGGGACGAGCGCATCACCTCGTCAGGAGTGAGATTGACAACCGCGTCCGGCTCGTCTGCCAGTGCGTTCAGGGCATGCTCCATCTCATTGATACCGAGGAAACCGAGTACGCGCAACACGGGGTACGTGCGTCCTTCCCGGTCCACGGCCGCCTCCTTGACGAGCACCGGGAATCCGGCATCCTCGTAACCAAGGCGAACGAGTTCGAGAAGGCGCCCAGTGAGCTCACGGACGGTGTGAGGCTTGTCAGCACGTAGAGTAGGGGCCTCGCGATCCATCTGAGGTTAGCTTACGGAGTAGGGCCGTACAGCTTGTTTGTACTCACCACTTCGGAGACTAAGCGGCCACCGAACAGGACCTCCTCCTTGTCGCTCAGGTATGGCAGCTTCTTGAGCTCGATAACGAGCTCGTAGATGCCGCGCTTCTCGAGCGCATCAGCCACAGTCTTCGCGACGAGCACAGCAAGCATGACGGGCACGGTGTAGTTGAGGGTGCCAGTGAGCTCGAACATGATGACGGCGAGCGAGACGGTGGTGCGGGTGACGCCGGCGAGGGTGGCAGCCGCACCGATCATGGCGTAAACGCCAGGGATGACACACTTGGTGCAGCCCTCGAACATGCCGAGCGTGGGGTACTTGTGCTGAACGAGCTCCATGACGATACCGACGATACGACCGAAACACGCGCCGATGACGAGAGAAGGGATGAAGATACCCGCAGGGAGAGCGAGACCAAAGGTGATGATCGTGAGAGACGCCTTGATGACGAGAGCGATGAAAACAGTCCAGATGACCTTGCCGGCGGGGTTGTTGGGACCGATGCAGAGCGACGACGTAGTGTCAACGCTGCACTCGGCAAACATCTTGCCCACCAATTCGTTGCCGCCCAGGCGCGTGTACGGGTTCATAAACGACACAACGCAGGTGAGGGCGGTGACAAGCGCAACCTCGAAAATGGGGTGGCGGCCGACCCAAGTGCCCTTGCGGACGTCGCGGCTCCAGATGATATTGAGGCGCGAGAACAGAGCGCCGTAGAGACCGCCGAAGATGCCGAGGATGATGAAGATGCCAAACTCCCAGTAGTGGTATTCAGAGGTGTAGGTGACAGCGAAGAGAACGATCGAGCCGTTGCCGTACGGGTTCAGCGCCTTGAGAACAAGCGCAGCGCAGGCGGCGCACCAGAACGAGCGCCACATGACCTTGGGAGGGAAGTAGTACGAGACCTCCTCGAGCGAGAAGAGGACACCACCAATCGGCGCGCCGAAAGACACGGCCACTCCGGCAGCGCACGCAGCCGAGAGGATCTCGCGGCGCTTGCCCTCGTTTGTCTCGTACTTGGAGAAGAAGCGAGAGCAAATGTTGGCAATGCAGGACGCGATGTGGACGAAGGGGCCTTCCTTGCCGAGCGACAAGCCTGATCCGACAGACATGGCAAGTCCGATAGACTTGACAAGCAGCGTGGACAGACCGAGGTAGCCGTGGATGACGAAGCCTGACAAGATGGTCTTGATCTCCGGGATACCACTGCCACCGGCAAAGTCTGGGCTGTTAGCTCAATGGATCAGAGGGCCAGGAAGTTACTCACAAATGACGGGACGGGCCGGCTCAGGAGGACGCTCCTCCTCGCTCTGGCGATAGAGGAGAGGCATACGTTCGTCGGGGAGCTTGACAGGTGACGCCAGAGGGCTGTTGGTGTTGAGCGCGGGGCCGAGGAAGGCCGAGTCCTTCGAAGTGACATGCGTTGCCGACGAGGTGAGGTAATACGTCAGAGCACTGGCGGTACACGCGAGGGCAATTGCGACGCAAAAGTACATGATGAACTCGGGCTCGCTGAAGAACGAGGCGTCGCGGTCCGTCTCGCTGCTGTCGAAGAATTGTCCCCAGGACACCCAGTCCTCGCAGGCCTCGTCACCATTGTCCGGGTGGCCCTTCGGAGCGCAACAGAAGCGTTTCGGCGATCCCCACTTGCTGGAGCAGTAGCCGTTCTTCAGGTCGAAGAAGACCATCTCCGAGCGGATGATGAGGAAGGCGACCATGGCAGTCAAGATACCGATAAGAGTGGCAAGAAGCCAGCCCTGGAAGCGGTCCCAGGCGTTGGCAATAGCGCCCCGCAGTGATCGGCGAGCTCGTGTCCGCAGCCGGCGTACTCGCGTCGACTCCTTGATGGCATCGTGCAGCCAGTCGATGGTGACATACGACGCGTACCACACTCGGGTGCCATTCGCACGTCTGCCGTCATCCTCTCCGTCGTCGTACGAATCGTAGTCCGAGTCAGCATCGTACTCGCCTGCACGGTCGCGACCAAAGCCGATCGAGCTCGCCGTCTTCTTGAAGCGGTTCAACATGGTCGAGCCAGATGGCGAAACGGGCGATGGGAGGACTAAAGAGGGCGTCGTAGGAACAAGGTGGTTGCTAGCAGTGCTCGCCCCGCGGCGGTGAGTTCGGGAAGAGGAAGGGACAGGACCTGGCGTCTTGGAGCCCGAACGAATGGCAGAGCCCGTACCGTTCTCACCCATGGCGCTGGTTCGGAGCCTTGGCGTGCTGGCGGTCGTTTGAGGCTGCGTTCGAGTGATGCCTGAGTAGGAGCTCGGCGGCGGCAGCGCAGGGCCGTCCCCGTGGCGCGAGCTTGGGCCTCCGCCGACCATGATTGCACCTGAAGTGCTGGCGATACGACGCGGGTCAATGTTAAGGCCCCCCGGTAAGCCAGACGGTAAAGAATTGTCAGAGGATCGTCCCCTGTCCGTGGTACTCGCAGACGAGGAAGGCAATAAGCCGGGCGTCGCCGGTTCGGTCGCGCCGTAGTTGGTCGTCGATTGCCTGCTGCGGCCGGGCGCGGCGACACTAGCGCTACGCCGGGAAGGAGTGATGCGGGGTGAAGGCGCAGACGTGGACGCAGCCGGCTGCTCCGACGGAGGTGGAAGGTGGAGCGCAGACGGGGTAGGCATGTAGAACTGTTGCTGGTGAGCGCTGGCGGTGTCAGATACAGTCGGGTGAGTCGCCGGCAGTCGGGGCGTGTTTGACGACACGTCTAAATCGTCGGGCTCGGAAGACAGCGAAGATTGGGAAACGGAGCCGACGAAGCGCGCGGAAGACAAGGAAGGAGAGGTCTGCACGCTCGACGATCGATGTTGGAATGTGTTGGTATGACTTGGTTCTTGAGTAAATGTGGACGGGTTGGGGAAGTAAGTCATGGGCGAGGAAGGTTGGCTGTGGTAGCTGTTTCCGGTGTCAGCGCTGAGCTCGTGTGACCGGGGTAGACGCGGCCGGGAGGGCAATCCAACCCTGCATGGCTTGCTGGGCTGCCTCCCCTGTGTCTCGTTGGACGTACCTGGGCTCTTCGCTTGACCGCGACTGACCCCTTGAATGCGAGCCTCCACTGCGGCGGACAGAGAGCACCGATGGTGGGCGCCCGATGCGCGACGACGAAGAATACGACGACGCCGACTTGCCGCCGCTGCGTTGCTCGCGCTGGTCGCGCTGTTCCGGACGCTCGCGCTCTGCACGCTCCGAAGCCATGGCGTGCTGCGTGCCCTGTCGAATGCAAGAATGTGAGTAACCAAAGGAGATAGCGCAAGGGAGTGTGTGAGGTGAGGGCGTAGGTGAGCCAGGGCCTGGCGCTGTTGTTGCAGGTCGGACTGTCCTGTCCCGTCGCGTGCGTGCTGACGGCGGTGCTTGCCGGGCGGTGCGTGCGGTGTTGTGCCGTCAGTGCGCGGTGCGGTCGAGCGGTGAAACGGTGAAACGGGTGTCGGGCCGTGCGTGCGCGTTGCACTTGGCGGTGACGGGGAACGAAAGGTGACAAAGTAAAAAGTGTGCAAAGGTGTGAAGGGATGAGTGTGGGTGTGGAAGTGGGAGCGGGTGCACGAGTAGCGTCAGGCGGCATGCAGAGCCCCGCCGACCGATGACGGTACGATGGTGCTTGGTGCTCCAGTCTGGCCCGTCTCGTGGCTCGGAGCTCGGTTCGCCGGTTGTGGGTGTGTGGTGCTCCGCCCTGCCAGCCGGCCAGATGCGACGCGCGTTTCCGCTATCAAGTGATGCATGATTTCCGCATCCAGAACAGCGGAGGCGATGCACGTTTGCTCAAAGACCATGCGCCCATCATCTGCGCAGAACAGAAGGAAGCATGCATCGACAGTCGGGGGGCGTCAGCAATGGCGTGTGTGTGTCGAATTTGCCACCTAAACTTGGAGATTCAAGGTTCAGTCACCCAGTCACCAGTTCAGTCACAAGGCACCGCATGGCACGCATGACGCGCTGGCTGCTGGCACTGGATGGACCTGTGCTTTGCAAGCTGTAACCGAGCGAAGACCAGCTGAATGTGCTGAATGCAACTCTGCCCCACATGTTTCCGGGCTCCAGCTGCCGCGCATCGCGTTCGTCGAATGCTGTTACGGTCAGGGCTCCCTCTACCAGGGCTCTGGACAATGGCACGATCGCGCGATCGGGGATAAGGCAGGAGTGGGTGAGTTCCCCCAATGCCTGTGCTGACCGTTGTGCGGTGCATGAGTGGCGACCAACGCGCAACTGGCTGGATACGCTCGGGTTCAGCGATCTTTGCCACTGGTGTAGGCTTGGCCTGATCGTCATGGTTCTATCAAGGCTTGGCTGACGGTACTCGAGTGCTGAGACAGTCACTTGGTCCAGCATACGGACACGAGCTCATCGCAGAAGTCTGTTTCAGCGGGGCCGAGGCCGTGCGTTGAGTGACGTTCCACCACTTAGCACTGGGCGGCTGACGAGCTGGCACGGCTCCTCTCAGTGGAGCACAAGGACGATAGGGTCGTCTGTTTGTGTGTTCTGTCACGCAGGACACAACGGACACTTCAATCCATTCGGCACACGAGCCGTTTGTGGAGGTGGACGAAAATGCCTCAATCCATGGTCGGTCCGATAGGCCCGCCAGCAGATGCCCAATTAGGTACCCCATCCCACCCGCATGCCTATGATGGGCTTTGCCTATCAATCGGGCCACGAGACCACCTCCAACCGTCATCCTCCGGTTCCTATCGAGTTCGACTTCATCGGCCCGACAACCCAACGACAAGCAATGCCGCCCAAGACGAAGCAGCCCCAGCAGGCCAAGGCGAAGCCGGGAGAGAAGCGCAAGTGGACGCCGCGTCCTGAGCGTCCCGCCTCCGAGCGCCTGCCCAAGCTCTACCGCGCGCTCGCGGACCAGGTCAACGACGGATACTTTGACAACGCGAAGAAGACGTGTCGCAAGAGTGAGTGGAGCCGGAGCGCACGCAGTGCGCGGAGCTTGCTGGCAGAATATTATATGTGCTCCCTATTGTCTGCCTGCATCCACCTCCATCCCGTCCGTGCTGCTTGCAAGCGTGCAAGTGATGGAGGAAGGCCGTAAAGGAGAAAGGACGAGCTTCCCCGCCGAGGTCTAGAGCTAACGCCAGTCCTGTCGCTTGACGAGTCGAGTGTGCCCGCGTTCCAGACCCTCCTCTTCCTCCTCCTGCACACGGACGACTACGCGTCGGCGCTCTCGCTCGTGCTCTCCCGCCAGTCGCAAGAGCTCAAGTTCGAGCACGCCTACTGTCTCTACCGTCTGCAGCGGGAGCGCGAGGCTCTGCCTCTTTTGGCCGACCTGGCCGACGAGCCGCGCGTGGCGCATCTGCGCGCGCAGCTCGCGTACCGCCTGGGCGAGTACGAGGAGGCGGAGCGGCTGTACGACGGCCTCCTGGCCGACGCGTCGCAGAGCGAGGCGGAGGATATCCGCACGAACGTGGCCGCGACGCAGACCCAGACCCGCTTCATCCAGTCCGAGTACAGGGAGAAACTGGCCACGCCCGCCGTGATCAATGACCCGTCTGCGACGAACAGGCCGCAGGACGTCGAGCGCGACGTCCCCGCGCTGCCCAGCGGTTGGGCCAAGGGTTCTGCCGCCCCGGCCGCTGCCCCCGTTGTCACCCAAGCGGAGGCAGCGCCGAGAAGAAGAAGGAGCGCGCCAAGCCCCGCCATCCCCTCCCGAAGGGCGTCTCACTCGGCGATACGCGCAAGGAGGACCCGGAGCGCTGGATGCACCTCCGCCAGAGGAGCAGCTACGTGCCCAAGAAGGGCAAGAAGGAGACGACTGGGCTCGGCACGCAGGGCGGATTCGAGAAGCCCGCTGGTGGCCAGAAGCAGGGCGGAGGCGGGGGTGGTGGCG